TGATTCATGTGCAACGACCTCTGAAATACCCAATGCATAATAGTAAAGTGTAACAAAGTGCAACATATAACAGTGAACTAACTGCAACGCGTAATAGTAAAAGTTGAACACATGACTCTAATAGTAAAGGAAACAGTAGACTCTAATAGTAAATTGAAACACATAACTGTAGACTCTAATAGTGAATGAAACGAATGACTGTAGACTCTTACAGTGACTGAATCAGTGAACCAGGAGATTGTGTGTGTGTCTGGGGCTTTAAGTCGACCGTTTCAGATTAATCCATATAAACGTACATCGATCATCTCCTACATGAGATACTATGTCCTACGTAGGAGATACTAAGTCCTACGTAGGAGATAGTAAGACCCAAAAAAAATTTCACCGTGGCCCTGCTACGCTTCCGTACTTACGTACCCTCTACGGAGGACAATAATTTTACAATACTTCAACCCCCTTTGAGGGTACAGCCACTAATAATCTCAGTTACTAATCCAAACTACCAATAATAAAAGATATATCTATTTACAAACTATTCATCAAAATGTATCTAATAATTCTATTTCTTTTAAAAATGCAATAATTAAATGAAAATTAACAGTACTAAAAAGATCCTTAACAGTTTTTACATAGAAATACTTATCCCTTGTGATGGAATGTGATAAGAGATGCGAATAGAAGGAAAGTACAGAATGTAGATGGCATATTTGAAAGTTCTGTCATTGGTGTTACTTCATTTAGGATATCTGAATTTTGTTTATTCAAGTCATATTCATATCATGTGCAAACGTAAATGGTACCTCGAAAGTTGAACCCATAGTTTAATTTACTGTTATTATTTAGCATGAAGATATACAGTGGCACTTATTAAAACACACAGAGTCCATTAAATGTACGTCAAGATAATTTATTTTTAACAATATATAGCACATTCGTCCCTTGTATGGTGATCTACCTTCAGTTGATGGTATTGTTCAAAATAGAAATACAATTTAAAAATATGTGCTAGTTTATAAATTATTTTCTGTGGTATTCTAGTTGCTGTTACTGTCCATCGTCGACAGGTATCTTTTAATTCAACTCAGTTTTTCGTGAATTTATAACTTGTTTTAGTCACGATATGGCTAAAATAGACAAAAACTCATTGTTGCAATGCACTCAATATGCAATTTCCTACACTCCAAAGAGGCGCACTTCTTGCAAAATAAAGGTGAATAAAGGGTGTTAAAACAACAAAAACAGCAACGATAGTACCAGGAAAAAGCAGTGGTAGTATCTTTAATGTGTATATATGTAATATGAATCTTTATAATTCCGCTTTAATACATGATTGGTAATGTAATTGTAATATGATTAATTACATTTTAATTTAAGGTGTAATTGTAATTGCAATTGCAATTGAGCAAAATCAAAGTAATTGTAATTTAATTAATTACATTTCAAAGTAACTGAACCCATGTCTTTCACATGCACTAGGCTGTTGTGTCTGGGCGTTTGAATCAAACATGGTGCTGGTGTGGAGCCTGTCCAGATGATAGATGCAATGCTGGATGGATGGGGACAGACTGTACTGCAAGTTTAGCTTGCTTGCATTGAAAACGTACCAACGAATTTCATTTTAAACAAAAAGTAAATCGAATAAAGTGAAATTAAGATTGCGAATCCTCATACTTTTACCTTGCCAACTGAACAATCAATCGCTATTATGGGTTTGTATTACAAGGGGATATGCACATTAAATGAAACACCGAGAATAAGAAGGGTTGGTCTAAGTTAACGCTCATCACGTACCGCACGTGTATTTGTTTGACTGTTCCAACTACTGTGCTTACCCCCTTGTAATACTAATTGGTGTATGGCATTTACTGCATTGCCGTGGCTCTTCTCCTTTCAATAAGAAAGCCGAATATGTATAGTTACTCTGTCCCGTATGACATGTTCTCTGTCGCGATGATTAACATATTTATCATAATACTAAGAAAGAATATTGTCAGCATTTGGATCTTTAGTACAGTGCTTGTAAACTGCCGAGATGTAAGGTGTGAACCAGCATGTTCATAGGTCTGCTATTCTCGCAACTGTAAAACGCAATTATCCGTTAATGACGTCACTGGATCATGCACAGGTGGATGCCGGGAAGGCACGTGACTTAAAGTATTTACCATTTAGGACATTACAATATAAAAGCAAGCTAAGATCACCAGCAACTGAAGTAGATCACCATACTAGGGACCATTGAGACTTACGATACTGTTGCTACCTGCATGGACCCTAGCTCGATTTACACTATTCCTCCAGCCGTTGGCTCCAGCTTCTTGAACTTTTAGCTTGTCTCAGCGGGAAGAACGGGTCTAACTGCAGCAAGTCCTGTGATGCACGTGAGGGTAAGCTGCACCGACCGCCTATCACGATGTATCCTGAACCAAACCTCACTTGTTACATACCCTTAAAACGAGGTGCACAGCTGATTAATGTACTTAAATTAAATTAAATTGTGCAGAACCTATTCCATCAAGTACTAAGCACATTTGGTACAGAACAGAAACAGGTCAACGGGGCAAGCTTGGACGCTACTCCATAAAAGTAAACCATTACATAAAAGTCATCAAGTATTGGGTAAGACTCGTCTATCAGCATAGCAATATTATTTTGAAGCATGTTTATTTGTATGAAAAGGGCCTTACAAATAGAGACATTCAGTGTTGGGGTTTGAATGTAAACAAGTTACTTTTTTTCTTATGGCTTCGGCTCAGTGTGGATCAATCAGGACACTATAAATACCCAGTTATTTCTTCAAACTTTTAAATAAAGATGTACTGATATTCAAAGCAGATTTGGTGTGATACCCTAAACAGGTTCTCCAAATTAACATTCTATAAGTGAAAAAACTGTCCAGTTTGAGAGCGATCTCACAAGCATTCCAGTGAAAGTGTACAGAAATTCTTTGTGCTCTCTTAAGTGCTCCAGCCACTGTCTCATGATAGTATATGGTCCTGTGATAGAAACGGAGTCTTAGACTGTTCATTTTACGATGATCTCAGAAAATATCTTATCCCAAAATATTTTGGGGAATTGCTATCTCTCGATAGGTTCAAGCGGCTTATGTTATGTCATAATGAAATAACAGCTAATCTTGGAAAACACACATTCCATGCATTTAAATTGCGGACTACGTTCCTATCACCGTGATCACTTCGCATGTTGAAGTTTGCCATTGACAGCCATTGCCTCTATTGTCTAGAGTCATCTGTATCTCTGATTTTACTGGCGCTTCTTGTGTCTCTGCAATATTCGGATATGTTGAACTCTGTGTAAAGGGAGTGTGGCCTCATCACCAAATAATGAAGTCATTAAAAAAAAAAAGAAAAAAAAGAAACAGGACCCGAGATTGAGATTCACATTCTGCACATGAGTGAGTGAATTAAAATTTGAAGTCACATCGGCAGTATTTCAGCCATATTGTGACTATATCTTGTACTCTATGTATAATAATTATAGGTAAATTATAACAACCTGTCAACGGAGGACAGTAAAACAACTAGACTATCACATATTTAAATTTACAAATTCTATTGATAAACTTTAAAGCATTTTAACTATACAAAAAGGTACAATATAAACACAGACTATAGATTGCCAGCAGCTGAAGGTAGATCACCATACTTGGGACGTTCTGCACATGAAACATGAGTAGGCCCATAAACGTCAGAGTTCTCGGATGTCTGTCGGCAACTGTCCAAATGCCATGTCATACAGCGACTTGCTGAAGAGGAGCGATATGGGCAAACAATGTGTCCCAGAACACCATCTCTAAACAACTCATGTCAGATGGCCCCTAGATGCAGCAGATGCCAAGAACAGCACCATAGTTACACCTGTGTGCAGCAACACTCTATACAACACGGTAGCCAGAATTTGCCACTATATGACGCAGATACCAGATAGCTTTTCATATAGTTAAGAGTGTGTGAGTGAGTTAAAATTTAACGTCACCTCGGCAATATTTCAGCTATATCGTGACGAGAAATGTGTTACATACACAATAAATATAAGTTATTAAATAATCAGTCATCGAAGGACTGTAAAATATCTAGAATATCACAGATGGTCTAAAACTAGCTTATAAATGTAAAAATAGTTCATTTACAAAGACAATACAATATAAAGATGAACAACTGAAGGTAGATCACCATACTAGGGACCATGGGGACTTACAGTGCCTTTGCTACCTGCATGGACCCTAGTTGGGTTTACACCATCCCTTCAGCCGCTGGCGATTGTAAGAAAATTTGAAGTTTAAAAGAACAAATATACTACGTTAAAAAATAAGGTAAGCTTAAATTTAACTTTGAAGCCTAACGTCGCAGGCGGAAATCTCACAGATATGTGTAACAAGTTTGGTGCAAATATTCTTAACAGTACATGACTATTGACTGAAATCTGACAGCTTAACGCTTATTCCATTATGAACAGTAGTGTCGTCGTATTTCAAACTTGACATGCGAGACTACATGCATCAAGAGCATTTTTAAGGTTTGCATCACCTGTGCGAAGATTTGGTGTGTGTACGACAGCATCATTCTGAACCAGAGACACTGAAACAGCAGTGAACACGTAGACATTACCGAAAGTCCCAACCATACTTTCAGTTTGTGCATGGTTAGGATGTGGCCGTCGCTTCACAATTCGGGATACATGACGTAAGTTAACAGAAAAAGATACAACACAATTTCTCGTAGCTCGTTATCTATTCCCATAATACTGACAAGTGGTTGTAGGTAATTTCACCTATCTTTCCTCATACAATCCCATACGTGGTATTTTCAGTGAGAAACGTTCTAATTATAATTTGAAGCAAAACATTCTTCAGTGATGCAAAAAGAAGACGGTATGCCTTTACTCAGTGTCTTGATATAATGTGTCATAATCAAAACATATGTTCCAGTCTACTCCTCATGTCTACCATCTAATTACTTATAATATGAAATACCTACCTCCAGGATGCAAAAATGGGACTTAAGGGCCTGACTGTAGTCGTTATGGCCACTGTGACATAACGTGTAATGCTGGAGATGGATGTTGTCCAGACCGGTGTGATGTTGATGTCATATTGAACATTGTTTATTCTTTTTGCCTTCCTTATTATATGTTTATAAATGACACCAATTCATTGGCTCATCCCCTATGAGCATATGCTGTTATAAGTATCTAAATATATGAACTGCACATATTTTATATTGACAATACTATATATCATTTACATTGTCATATGCAAACTTTCCATTTCCATTCACAATAAATGGTAAGTATCAAAATAATGTGTGTTTCTTCTTAATCCAGCCTCTGTTGACAAATCGCCGTCATTGGAGGAACTATAGCGGGTGGTCTTGCTGCTGCTAGCTGTTGGGCAGTGCATGCATCTGCTAAAACATAAAAGGTAATCTTATATGTCGTTTCGTATCATTCATAAGTAGACAATGTGGCCTGATAAGGCCAGCACCTAACACATTCCAACCATATTGTTCTGTTTCAGACTGAAAGCAGACCGAACAAAAGGAAGAAGGACGGAAACAGGACACACTGAGGCTATGACTAATCATACGCCAACTCCTGGAGAGGAAGATGAATACTATACTGAATTAAAATTCGTTTAAACCAAGGAGAGAGAAAGGGAGGAGAAGTCACAGTATGATGTGATTCAGAAAAAATAATCAAATCTGAGAAAGGATTATTGAATCACTTATATCTTTCGTGTGGCCAAAGTAAACTCTGTCAAAAAAGAAACGCAACCCCTGTATTTTAGAGATTTTGATCTGAAGTTTTAGGACGACACGGCATTTTTATTATTTAAGACAGAAGTCTGAAATTTGGCAGAATAATAACCCAGATGGGCATGTTTAAAATTGTCATTTCAAAAGTCATCTCACAGACACCAGTTTGTCACCAGGGGGGGGCGTCTGTCTCAGTATCTCGTATGAGCACCACGCGCTGCAATCACTGCACGGCATCTCCTTGGACAAGAACGGATAAGACGCCGGATTCTTTCCTGGGGAATGGCTCTCCACTCCTCCTGCAGTGCAACGGCGAGCTGTTGCAGCGTCTGTGGCGGCGGCTGACGTTGACGTACGCGTCGATCCAGAGTATCCCACAGGTGTTCAATAGGGTTGAGGTCTGGTGATTTAGAGGGTCATGGCAAGACATTGACGTTGGAATTCTGCAGAAAGTTCATTGTTGCACGTGCAGTATGAGGCCGGGCGTTGTCCCGTTGAAAAATCTGTGTCTGTTGGTCAATAATCGGGAGAAGGTGAAGCTCTAACACGTGGTTGATGTAACGTTGGGCTGTCAGGTTCCCTGGAACGATCACCAAGTCAGATTTCTGGTTGTATGAGATGGTTCCCCAAACCATGACGCTTTCTCCGCCAAATCTGTCCACCTGTCGGACGCAGATGGGCGCTAAACGTTTATGACGTCTCCTATACAGACGCTGTCTTCCGTCGTGACGTTGCAAAGAAAACGTGATTCATCAGAAAACCAGATTCGCCTCCAGTTTTGTAAAGTCCGTATCCTTACGTTGTTGCACCACCTGAGTCGTCGGCGTCGATGTAGGGGCGTAGTACAGGTCCAACAACTGGTCTACAGGCACGTAAACCCGCTTCTTTCAGACGGTTCCTAATCGTTTGAGCTGACACTCTCCTCAAACCTGGTATTTGTGTGGCAGTCACGGTTGGTAGGGCATGCCGATTACGCAGGTGATGGACCCGGATGTACCGATCTTGAAGGGGGTCGTGATTCTTGGCCTTCCACTTCTCGGGCGATCGTTGGTCAAATTGAAGTTGTTGTAGCGGCTCCAAAGTCGGGATATCGTTGTTTTGTGAACATTTAGGTGCCGTGCAACAGTTCCAAAACTTTCTCCGGCTTGAACACGACCAATGGCGATATTTCGGTCGGCAGCACTCAATCGTGGCATTTTAACACAGCTTTTCGGCGACAAATGAATGAATATAATACGGAAGCACATGGGCTTTTATACACCCCTACATTAACTGCCATTTTCATGATTTGCATGTGTTTTTTTTGTGCGAAGTCACCATGAGGGTCATTTCATGCGTTGTGACGGAATAAGCAATAAAATACACTTATGCGTACAAATGCAGTTGTTTGGATGGTAATCTTCATTAATTACGTGTATCATTTCAATACATTCGAATAAAATTTAGTTTGGAAGCAATAACTTCATTCAAACGAATTTTTCATATCTGAGGACAGGGGTTGCGTTTCTTTTTTGACAGAGTTTATTTTGCTAAGTATTGCGCGGGATCAGTATATGTGACTTGCTGATTGCCTCGTGGGTACCAATTTATACATATATGTCCATAGTGCTAGTTTCACAATGAGACACTCACATACCAGGAAAATCATGTGTGAGGAACGGAGGTTCATCTATTCTACTGAAGAGATAATAATAACCCTTGATCATACATGTAACAGGTATTGAACGAAACAAGCACGTGGTTAGAATTGCATTTGACACATTTCAGCAATTGCTAATTAAAATAGTGAAAAGTTATATATGTTATCAAAAATAACAGTGTCACTGTAAAGAACAAGGTAAGATAACTATTCTTAAATTATACTCGGTTAGATGTAAAACGCAATTAAAAGGAAAAGCCTGTTGGCCACCATCACCATAGGCTGAGAAATTGAGGCTTCACGCATAATGCCTTAAGACTTTACGTCATCACTAGTGAAAGTGATACTTTGTTTTCCTTATATTGGCATGGCTTAGATAATTTTTCTTATACATTTTCTCTCTGCATAAATTTATTTATTCTTTATTTCCATGTTTTGAAGTTACATTTTCCATCCGTAATGAACATTCAAATGTGTTAGCTACATATAAGTTTGGTTTAGTCATTTCTCTATTTAATTTGTAAAGGAGAGATGTTGTAGTATATGTTCTTCACTGTTTCTTCCTTCTGTATAATTCAATTCAATCCATTCTGAGAGCTTTTCCCATACATCAACAGGATATACACATTTACAAAAAATATGTGAAATTGTTTCATCTGGTTCGTTACATGACTGAATGACTTACTGAGTTTGGTTTTACGCCGCTTTTAGCAATATTCCAGCAACATCACGGCGGGGGACACCAGAAATGGGTTTCACACATTGTACCCATGTGGGGATTCGAACCCGGGCCTTCGGCGTGACGAGCCAACGCTTTAACCACTAGGCTACCCCACCGCCCCTTATCAGGTGTAAGTAATCTTTGCAGCAAGCGTGTATGTCCTGCAGTCGGACGACAGAATTGGACAGCTTATCTTTACCACTAACATGGTTGGACGATCAATAATAAATAGCGAATGTTAAAGGGTATATTAATATAGCAGCATCAATTAATTTATTTTAGAACTATGTACAGTAAATAATCACGCAAATTCGAAAATATTAAGATATGTTGACAAAAGTCTGAAATATGTTTCGAATATTACAGAAATAAGCTACCCCACCGCCCCTCGTTACATGAAGTACAAGCTGCTGATGGTACATAAACAATCTTGAATATATACTGAGTCAAAAAAGAAACTTCACATTCTTTCTTCAGGGCACTATAAAATAACAAGAGATGGTAAGATGGTTAAATTGTTATTATTTCATTGCTGAGATCTGTGTGATGTACTCGATACACTGACAGTGCCACAATCAGTTCCATTAGGCTACACCGCCGTTCCAAAACATGGGTATACAGAATGTCAAGTCACAAGAATATCAATGCGAAATTTCTCAGCTCAATATCGTGTATGGCCGCCCCGCGCATTCACCACTGCCAAACACCGTCTCCTCATCGACTGCCTGATGCTTGTGAACACGTGGTTGGGGATTCTGCGCCATTGCTCTCGCAAGGCAGCGCCAAGTTCCTGCAAATTCTGAGGTTGGTTCCTAAGACCACGAAGCCTTCTCCCAAGTGCATCCCAAACGTGCTCTATTGGATTAAGGTCAGGGGACCTCGATGGCCAGTCCATGGCGTTGATTCCAGCATTTTGAAGGAAATTTCGTGTCAACATCGCGGTATGCGGCCGAGCATTATCATGCTGGAACTGTAGACCTGGGCCATGAGCCGCCATGAAAGGAACGAGTTCAGGGGTTAGTACCTGGTCGCGGTAAGCAGCAGCTGTGAGGTTTCCACGGATGACCAGAAGTCGGGAACGGTTGTTCCCACAGAAAGCACCCCACACCATGCAACTTCCGCCCCCGAATCTGTCGACTTCCTGTACACAACATTGGGCATACCGTTCACGACGTCGTCTCCAGACTCTATGCCTGCCGTCCGCGAATCTGAGGGTAAACCTGGATTCATCGCTAAAGACGACTCGATTCCAGTCTCTCTGGGTCCATCGGAGGTGACGTTGGGCCCACAGCAGACGTTGACGTTGATGAAACGGCGTCAATATTGGCCCACGATATGGACGTCGAGGATGGAGATTGGCAGCCCGCAACCGATTTCGAATGGTCTGTGAGGACAGTCGACCTCTAAACATCTCAGCCCTGGTTCGTGTAGCCGGCAGAAATCTGTCACGTAGGTGACGTAGGACGATTTGACGGTCTTCTGCTCGTGACGTCACACGTGGACGACCCAACCTTGGGCGATCAGAAGTGGTGCCAGTTTTTTGTAGACGACCTCGCAAGTCATACACAGTACGACGGCTGCATCCCATTGCTCTTGCGACGTCAATAACTGATCTTCCTGCTTGCAACATGCCAACGGCACGTTCACGTTGCACATTTGACAATCGTGGTATTTCAAGTACCGTTAGAACTGTGGTTTCAAGGTGTTTTTTCAATTCTTGAGGCCAATGCAAACACGTGCATATGAAGAAAACTTCGATGCGAAGATCACGTGATCGACTGCACGTGCAAAACCTGATTTGGCACTAACGTCATTTGCACGACGAATGGATGGGTTTGAGTGGGTTTTGCTAACGTTTTTCTAGAGTTGAATGATAGGGATCCCATTTCGGATACAGATGTATCATCAGAGAAAAATTATTCATTATTTTTCAAATTACATTTTGTGAAGTTTCTTTTTTGACTCAGTATATAACTATTTGTACTGAGGCTGCTGTGTAAAACATACAACTGAAACCACCATAATTCACTATTTGGAGTACATCTCTTTACCATCAAATTATACACAGCAAAAATAACTCGGTTTCCGCAATGCGGAAACCTGGTAGAAAGTGGACTGAAACTTAAGTTTCCACCTAGAATCCAGTGAGTTTCCGTTCTTTTACATTGAGTTTCCGCAATAACGGAAACTTACAATTACCCACTTTCTAAGGGTTTCCGCAAGGTTTCCGTTACACACACTCCAAGAAGTTTCCGTTGAGTTTCAGTTAACTTTGAATCCATCAGGTTTCCGCATGGTTTCAGTTGTTAAGACTCCAACAGGTTTCCGCATAGTTTCAGTTACCAACAATCCGACATAGTTTCCGCATAGTTTCAGTTCCCAACAATCCGACATAGTTTCCGCATAGTTTCAGTTACCAACAATCCGACATAGTTTCCGCATAGTTTCAGTTACCAACAATCCGACAAGGTTTCCGCATAGTTTCAGTTACCGGTTTCAATTTCAGGTTCACAGGTTTTCAAATGCGTTTCAAAGAGCTAAATGTAAACATTCTTCTTTATTTATATCATAAACTCTTGTTAAAAACAATATAAGCAATTTGTTATTATCATGACATTTACTAAAAGAAAAACAGAATATATAATAAGATTCATTGTTTTATTTTCTCAACATGGTATGGATTAGCATTTAAGGCAAATAAAGATCATGCATATAACTAGTAATATAGCACTAAAGAACAGGGCAAAACATGTTGGCATAACTCAATCCAGTTTTAGAAATCATATAACATTTATAACAAAGTTGTAATTTTTCATCAGTTAAACTTCCATTCACTTATTATCTTGAAATAGCATGTTAGATACGAAATTTATTTCTAAAATCATGCTAATGATGAAAATAACAATAACATACAACTTAACACAGTAATAAAACATAGCTGCATCGGACATTTATTTGCACGCCTTGGCATTCAGCCACACACTCTATGTCACAACTATCGCCAAACATCCACTATGATATACAATAACAACATACAGCTTACAATACAAAAACAAAATAAAAATTACATTATGAAATTGAAAATAAATTTAATTAAATTGCAAGAGCTGGTCAGTGGGCCCTGTAAGGGGCATCCCTGGGCGGAGATCCCTCTGTTACTTTGGTTGGATGCCTCATCCTCGTCCTCCTGTTGGCCTTGACGACAGCAGTGGAGGTGTAGATTCTTTCCAAGTCCAGTGTCGTCGTGTATGCCATAAGCTTGCTGGACTCACAGACGAAGGGGACGGAATGCAACTAATTGACGTCATCTTCGTCACTGACGACTGGTGATGTCATGTCTATGGTGAGTGTTGTCGCTACCTTTTTCTATCGTCTATCTGGCCAATCAATAGATGCAATGTTTGGGCGTTGTGCAAGTTTCTGAAAATGGCAGGTTATAACGAATTACTAGGTTATTTTGATGAATTACACAAACATCAATCAACAAGAAACTGACAATGCCAAGGATGATTTAAAATGAGTAATCCACAAGTAAGTTTGAATAAAAGAGAACTAAATTGAACAATCACACTTTGCACTAGTTTTCTCAAAACTCAAATTATGCAATTCATCACACTTCATTGACCGAATATAATATCTTATTTTCTAAAGAGGACACAGAATCTATACAAACTTTGCTCTGGAGTTACATGCTTCCCAGACCAGACGTAGTAATATGTTATATATAATATCTGAACATTTATTGCATTTTCTATGTAGTAATAATGGTACTAGTAATAGATTTTCATCAACGTTGTGGTGTCCACCGCCGTGATGTTGCTGGAATATTGCTAAAAGCGGCGTAAAACCAAACTCAGTCAGGCAGTTGTATTGTTGAAGGCACAAGTATATTCACCCAGTAGTGACTGTATGTTTACACCATTACGTCTTTGAGGTGTATTTAGAAGTGAATAATACAAGACACAATGTTTCCGGATGTCAAGGTCTTTTATTGTGTGAAAACACATGTTTCAGAGTGAATGCTTACACCTGACGAAGGGGTAAGCATTCACTCTGAAACATGTTTTCACATAATAAAGGAGTTGACATCCATAAACCTTGTCTCTACTCTATTAATTGGAAATAATTTACTACTTATAATGAAAGTCACTACAGATAGGTCAAAATTACCTTCACACATGTTTCAGCTGACCATCCTTGGTCATTCGTTATACAGTCTGCAGACTCATCATCAGCTGAAAAAATAAACAATAACACGTTACTTTTCTTTGCATTTCTCCATTCATTCATTTGAGGTTTAACAAACCCCAAACAATTGCAGCGACATTTATACCAACAAGCAAACTACAAATTTATCACTTTTAAGGTTATGCAATGAGTAAGTGAACGGCCTGACATAAACATCCTGATGAATGAAGTTCAGTTATCTCATGTGACATAACCTTGGAGTAATTACGGTATTGTAAAATCAAGGGGTCAGTTTTACTGCCATTTCACACAGGTGTGAAGTTTATTTGGTCCAATTTGAAATCATGATTAAGTTACCGGTTATTCAAATCCATTTGCAAACGTAACTTGAGTATGGTTCATTTTGTGAAAATGTATCTAGGGAAGGGATTATAGCTAAAACGGCACCACGCCAAAACGGTACTAACCAAAACGGAATCAAATTGGCGAAAACGGGACCTTGACTTGGCGAAAACGGAACCATAACAATTTTAATAGCTCTAAATTAAATGTATAAATAAAACTTTACGTTGCCTATGAATAATATTGGCAACGTTGTATAATAAATAAGTGCTCAACGATAATGATTTAAAATGGATACTTAAGAATTGCTGTTGACATGGTTGACTCTTCCATTCACATCTATCGGCTGACGCAATAAACTTGTCTCTTCTCAAAACATTAAGAACTTGTTGTTTTTTAATGCAGTTATAGCAGTTTATTCTTGGTACTTAATGCACAGGCTACAAGTATAAACATGTTACTTATCAAAACATTTTATAAGCAATAGTTAATGAACACGCCTCATGCATATTATTCCAAAGAAAACAGCGGCGTCTTTGATGGGTTGACAAGCTTCATTAAAACAACAACTCATGACTGCTCTGTTACAACTAAATGTCATGATACATGCTATATAAGACGTGGTCATTCGTCATAATGTACAAGGATGAAAACATCTATGCAGACATGACCAGCCTAACGACCTAGTGAACTATGTTGACATAACCAGCCTAATGAACTAGTGAACTGTTCAGTGTATTGTTATTGATGCGATAAAATGATCGTGTTAAATAAAAAATTAAAAACTAGTGTTTTGGTGTCCATATTTTTTTAATAATGTGGTTCCGTTTTCGCCAATTGGTTTTTGCATAATAATAAAATATTCAAAGTGAAATTACGTCTATGTTTCATAGTACCATAAACACATACCTTCAGTTAGAGAGAGTGATCTTTTCTTCCAGGAGTGGTCGTGACACGTTTCCCTCACAACAGCCTAAATGAATAAAACAAATCAATTAATATACAATCTATTTGCTATATTTTTCAAAATTGTATATTTTTAGATAGACACTTATTTTACTTCACCAACCTTTGAAAATAGTTCGTGCAAAACTGTTTATACAGTCAGGGGACTTAAATATACGTCAGTCGGCAAAATTCTCATAGACTTGCATGCTATTTTAGTGTAGCTATGTAATTTTCATTAATTCAGTTTTCCATATTTGGTTGTCAAATTATGCAGGCTGTTAGGAAATAATCTTGGTCACAGATACATAATTTTCCGCATTGTAGTTACATGAGCAACATATATACAACATTGCGTATTCTTTCCCCATAGACCGCCATGTTAAAAATTGCCATAACTAATTCAGTTTTCCATATTTGGTTGTCAAATTATGCAGGCTTTTGGGAAATAATCTTGGTCACAGATACATAATTTTCCGCATTGTAGTTACATGAGCAACATATATACAACATTGCGTATTCTTTCCCCATAGACCGCCATGTTAAAAATTGCCATAACCATGACACACATTGAATTGAAAATAAAACGGAAATTATGTCTTTGACGCTGAGATGATTCAGAACCCATGTGCAAAATATGAACAATATCAAACGGATATCAAATAAATTCAAGACATATTTCTAGCTGCACCAAAGTAACATGTAAGTCGAATAATGCATAGTGGCGAATACCTATGGCCCCTGGCTGCAATTCGATAGATTAGCTTGTTTACCAATCCGGATTTTCTGTACGTAAAGTAAATAATTCATAAAACGTTATTTGACAACAAAACAAATTGGTCTTACCTGACAGGGTCGTGGTACTGCGAGTTTTTCGCAGCCATTTCCATCTTTCTTTTCCAGGTAGCGAATTCTCTCTTCAGTGCTTTGAGGGTAACTGAGGCGGCTTTGAAAATCGCGACTCGCAAAGGCTCACGGAAAAACACTTCGTTGTTGTTTTTAATCTAAATCTAACATTACAGTTTGACAATATCTTTCCGCGTTATACAACAAAATAAACATACACTATACACATAAAATGTCAGCTGTGTGTTTTTATAATGATTTAGGTAGTCTCGCGTGGACGTGATCCGGTCGCCATTGTTTTATTTTGTTTACATTGCCGACATCAAAGGGACCGTGAAAGGTGGAAATGAGCAGATTGAATGTGAGTACCCAACAGTGGGCTTGTATGGGCTTAAGGGTCTTCTCATCGCATTATGGGCACTAATTGCTCCTCCTCAGTGTCAAGCATCAACATGTAGGCCTAGAGAAGTGAATAAATCTGAAAACATATTCACGTTACTTTAAAAGTCCTCATCGAGCTTCATGAGTCCTACTCATGAGAGATTGTGTCAGTGGCAAATATGTGATTTTTCAAAACTCTGTCAGGAGTAGGCAATATACGTTCTCCTGGACGTAAAACTTCATCAGGTAAGTAATTTACCTATTGAACTCAAAACATGCACGTGTATTAGACATGCTTATATCATGTTCATTCTTTTCAGTTCTACACCTAGATCTACGTATACCATTCCCTGTATTATAAGTTTACTTATCTAATTATATGTGATGTCAGCTCAATATATCTAAGTGAGCGAGTTTAGTATTACGCCGCACTCGGCAATATTCCAGCTATATGGCGGTATTTATCCAATTATACCAGTACATCTTTTTTATCATTTTATTACCATTAAAACAATTATAACATATACTTTACACTCATAGCTTTGTGTAATAATTTATGTAATCAATTATTAAACCTCTTAGCCTTTACAATGCATTGACACAAGTCACGTATAACATTTCTAAAAGAATCATAGTTTCAATTATTTGATTTACAGATACGTATTGTGGATCCACTGACTTGTTGGAGATTGACAAGAGGCTTGGCTTGGTAATCATTTATAGTTACACCATACCATGCTCCTAATTTCATTAAAGGAAATCTTAAAACAATATTTTTTTTATTCATCAGCATTTAGTCAAAAACAAGTAAACACTAAATAGATACATAGAATAAATTTCTTTATCTTTGTGAAAAATATAATCACTCAAAATGTAACAGTGCGTGGATTCCAGTGTAACCATAAGTTTAACATATGTTATATATGGGATTACACTTTCATAAGTTAAGATATGTTGATATGTTTTTCAGTTCCAAGACTGACTGACTGACTGAGTTTAGTTTTACGCCGCTTTTAGCAATATTCCAGCAATATCACGGCGGGGGACACCAGAAATGGGCTTAACACATTGTGCCCATGTTGGGAATCGAACCCGGCTCTTTGGCGTGACGAGCCAACGCTTTAACCACTAGGCTACCTCACCGCCCCTCAGTTCCAAGAAAAAGACCCAGTTTTCTGTCCGCACTGCCAGTCGTTTGTTTCAAGGAAACAAGGAATTGTCTGGAATGGACGGCAGTTTCTCATCAGGTTAGTCCAAAATACTTCACTTCATAGGTTTCATTTAACGACTTCAGTTTGATCTATCCCATTGCTATCCATCATATACTAGTATCAATAATGAATATATTTAATTATTGTAATTTGTTTGATTGGCATTTAGAAGTTGGTGACAAAAAAAGAAAGTAAGAGAGCTTTATGGATAACAACTTCTTTATTATATATGATGCGACGTTTCGGTATGGATTCTTATACCGTTGTCGAGCAAGAGTGTAATTATTGTATACCAGATATGTAAATGTAACTGAAAGTGAATAAGTTGTGTTACACATTTTACAGTTTTAAATTAAATTAAAGGTCACATAAAAATAATATTTTATGTTACTATATTGCTGGGAATGTTTCCTTAGAGAGTTGATAAAACTAAGAAATACCCACGATTTTTCATTCATGGGAAATGTTAGGTTTTGTATGCTTTTCTCAGTTGAGTTGGTCATTTCAATTTGAATAAGATCACATATATAATTAGGTGTTACATTCAGTGTTTAAACATAATTCGTATCTATTTAAAATATGTATGTACCGTTTTACCTATGCTTCGATTTCAATTGGCGATTTGGTAGTAGATGTTACCTTGAATATGAGTACAGTAACAGTAATAAATATTACAACAATTTGCTTCAGAATACTGGGTTGGCTACTATTTTCTGGTACCAATCAATAAAATAAGTGACATGTCAAATGGAAGATACAATATACATGTATACTACATATCTTTCCTTTGTGATTGTGAAAAAAAATATTTTGGTTACATATACAAATTAGTCGTTCTAATTATATAATTTCATTGTGATCAGATGTACCACTGTGCATGTTTATGAATATGTATAAATGTGTTACTTTGGCTGTTTTGCAGTTTTACTAAGCATTGTATGTATTGTATTTGCAGGATGATGAAGAGTCTGTGTGGATGATAAGGATGGCAACGATGTTGTGCCAGACATCAACCAGGACTCTTCATATTCACCCACAAATCTTAAGTAGAGCATACACCATCTGTTTGCGGTTGTGGACTGGTTCAAGCCTTGTTGTAATCAACTTGGTTATATTTCCCCTTTCTGTGTGGCAAAACCTCAGGCTCAACTCAAGGCTCTGCGTCATATGTACCACATCAGAGGATTGTTGGCTGCTCAGTGTGAGTGCAACAGAAGCTTCATGGTTGTAAGCAAGTTGCCAAGTCTTTACTATGTGAGATTGTTAGTGTGTATATGTTAAGATACATTGAGACAGCTTCAAATGTACACTTCATGTATATGTATATGGGCTCATGACCTTCATACAATAAACATTTGAATTTGAATTTGAAATCTGTTTTATAAATACCACAGCAAATATGTTATGCCTGCACTAGTAGACCTCATTTCATCATATGCATAAAATGTTGTAGGGTTTTGACATATTTGTATTTGCATATTCATACAGAATTTGTTTTCTCCAATGCTGAAAATTCCCTTTTGATATGGGCATGCATACATACATACACACACACACACACACACACACACACACACACACACACACACACACACACACACACACACACACACACACACACACACACACACACACACACACACACACACACACACACACATTGTTGAGTACTGTTGAAATGTGAGCTATTCACAATAATGAAACAGATGAATCATAACAGTGCATGTGTCACTGTGTTTGTTGTTTTTCGCGTACAATGTAATAAATTGTACATTCACAAGTTATGCAGAATGGTAGTGAGTGAGTTGCATAGTCACATCGGTAGCCATATCGTGACTATGAAAATCGTAACTCTAAATTTGTAAATGTGTACATGAAATAAAAACAAACTTATATACTTACCTGTCTTCGAAGGACAGTAAAATAACTAATCTATCACAAATGTACACTAAAAACTGGCATGTAACCATAAACACTTTACCGATACAGTATAAAAATGAGCTATAGATTGCCAACACCTGAAGGTTGATCAACATACTAGGGACTACGGCACGAACAGTACTTTTGCTTCCTGCATTGACCCTAAATGGATTCTGTAAACAGAAATTATCTTGCAAATGTAACAGTAAGTAAATATAGTCCCCCAATGGAACAGCACAAAGCTAATTATAAGTTTGCCATTTCATCTAAGCTGAAACCAACAGAAACCTAGCGGAAACCTACATTACCCAGTATCCAATAGGTTTCCGCAATAGCGGAAACAAAGTCATTTCTCTTTGAATGTTTCAGCGAACTGAAACTAAATGGAAATGCATTATGATAGTTTCAGTTGTAGAAACTTGACGGAAACCTAGATTTGTTAGTTTCAGTTTTGTAAACTATGCGGAAACTCGCATTGTCTGTTTCCGGATACTGAAACCTAGCGGAAACCTACATTACCCAGTATCCGTTAGGTTTCCGCAAAAACGGAAACTAAGTTATTTTTGCTGTGTATAGTTTATCCATTCTCAATCAGTATATGTTTTCCCTAGGTACCTTCCCCACTTACTGATGGTCTTTTTGGTTTTTATAAACTTTCCCTATGTAACTGTCCCACTTACTGATGGTCTTTGGTTTTATAAACTTTCCCTAGGTAACTTTCCCACTTACTGTAGGTCTTAAGTTTTGTAAAATTAGGGTAGTGGAGAATAGTATAAAATACTTTACATCCAAATTATGCTTATGCTTTTTTGAGATGTTGAATGGCAAAATTGGTCCCTGAGAATGTTTCACTAAATGTTTGTTCTTGATAGTTTGTAAATAATTCAACATGGAATGATTCATTCCTTGATGAGTCACCAAAATCGGTTATAATTGTATATGTTTTACATGCTAGTTATATATTCATATCTGTGATACTCTAGTATTGTTACTGTCCATAGTCGACAGGTTTTACTGTTTAAAATGTTTTCATTGTATAATTTGTTTTCGTCACGATATTGCTGAGATATTGCCGATGTGACGTTAATTACTCACTCACTCTCTTAACAAATTCTTCAAACTCATATATTTTACCTTGTTCATGAATACAACCATTATACATGTTTAACCCTTTTTATGCTACTGTGCAATGTATATGGGCTTACCATCACCCGAGGCTGAGAAATTGGGGTTTCACGCATAATGCCCTCAGGCTTTACGTAATCACTGGTGAAAGTGATACTTTGTTTTTTTTACATGGGCTTGGCTTAGATAATTTTTTGTTATATATTTTCCCACTGCACACAAATTATGAAACCATCTGAGAATATATGAGGAATCATTATTTAACAGATTTATGAATTGGTATCACATCAACACTGGTTCTATATCACCTACACTGCGTAGAAGTCACCAGTAGTGGGTAAATATTGATACTCGGGTAGAAATAGAAAATTGGCCTTAATAAAATCGAGCTACAGATTCTTTTCTGTGTGTTTCTTTTATCCAGAATTGTCTCAAGTCGCAGTCAATGTTTTGGGTACCATTTTCTAGGTATATAAGGGGAGCTGGCTCTTGTCCCTCATCTCACTTAAAATCCTCAAGGTACAAGAAGACAAACAATATGAGTGATGGTCATTGTATACACTGCCAGGCCCAGTTGTAAGTTATTACTGTTGCTGAGAATTGAATATTACCGACTTCATTGCCATAACCACTGTCTTTGTATTTTATTCTTCTGCTCTCACTCACTCCATGTGTGGGCGGTTGGGCAGCTTTATAGTTGAGGTGTTCGCTCGTCACACCGAAGACCAGGGATCGATTCCCCACATGGGCAGAATGTGTGAAGCCCAAATCTGGTGTTTCCGCCGTGATGCTAGAATGTTGCTAAGAGCGGCGTAAAAGTAAACTCACTCACTCACACCCCCACTCCATGTGCACTGACATAGTGATACCTTCGTATTGGTTTGTGAACTTAGTTAAGTTTAGAATATATCTGTAAATCACATCACATAGCTTTGTTGTGAACTTAGTTAAGTTTAGAATATATCTGTAAATCACATCACATAGCTTTGTTGTGAACCTAGTTAAGTTTAGAATATATCTGTAAATCACACCACATAGCTTTGTTGTGAACTTAATTAAGTTTAGAATATATCTGTAAATCACATCACATTGCTTTGTTGTTTATTGATTTCACACGTAGTTCTAAAAACTCTTTTGTTTCAATTTCGGTAGAAATTGCGGGTATGTTCGGGCTGGAAATTTTATATATTACGCAATTATTTGTCAAAATTATTGGTTTTGATTCTGCGTGTCTTACATTGTGTGAAAACAGCAATCACCATGGTATTTAATGTAGAGTCGGAACTAGTCTCTATGCTCAAAAAGTCTTAACAGGTCGAATTGGTGAGTTATCAAATCTTGTACGCCAATAAACATGTTTGTCACAATCGTTTTGAGGAAGAAATTTTGGATGATGATGCTGTGGCCGGCCTTGACTGAACAGACTATTTATGTTTTGGCCTTAAGGAGATCAGAAATTGAGAAGAAAAATTAAGGATTCGACAGTTGGAAACTCGAGCTGAGAAAAGGAAATAGAAAAGAACAATGATAGTTCCGGGTAAGGGAATTCAAGCTGACAAAGAAATATATCTCAGACAAATTGACTTACAAAATAATATCTCTCTGGTGATAGATCGTTTGATGTTCATGGTAGTTTAGACTTGTTCCGACTTTCTCTCAACGTCATGCTGCAAATGTTTCTTGTATTTTGAAAATGTAGTTAAAAATTTGAAATGGTATTAACTGGTTCCTCAAGCTAACAGGCCACAGTTGAGGCTTGCTAAGAAAAAAAGTTGGTGCTACTGTTGTTACGTTTGCTAGGAAGAAGGAACCTTTGTTAAGATTTCAAACTTGTAAGTCGATATTAATATTGGTACTGTAACTGAAAAGGTAGTTCCCTTTTTTAAACTTCAACAAACTGAATGACAGGTCAATGATCACAATAAACACGTTTATTATGTGCACACTGACAACATCTGACAATGATGAATATATCACCGTGTTACTCTTCTGCACATAACAATTTTAAACTTGAAGCGATAGAGCAAATATTTGATAACGTGGTTATCGGCCTTTCGAACGTCAGCCTATACTCGTCGAGACAAAACCAGTGGAGATGAAGAATCAACAATATCATCAAGTTACATCACTAGGGTGTCATCTTGGTGTTATTATTAAACTACTTTTTGTTTTAAAACATATTAAATAACATCAATGCTAGGTTATTCCTTATTTTCGACATCAGCGTGAGAAAGTAGGGTAATTGTAGTAGCTCTGACACAGTGATTTGTATAACTGCACCAAAGGTTGGCCTCATTTGAGATTGTTTCATCATATTATCCAGGATTTTGACACCGACTGGTCTGCTTGTATACCAACATGAATCATACAGATATTTTGGCCTTGGGTTTCTGAAAGAATGCATCGTTATCCGGATTACGTTTTTGGACAAAACATCGTAAGGAAGACATGGGACATTGATTTGTTCATCCATCGTGGCATACATCAGGGGTTTGCTTTCAACGTCGAGATATCGTAGATCATCACCATGGTGGTTTTTCGTGGCCTCGTTATAGGCAATTTCCACATATTCCAAACCGGAATCATCTTTTTGAATACAAAGGAATCAGGCTTTACGTTTCGCTGATTTTCCCGGACTCGACTTGCAAAACTCGAAGTAAAATGGAACCATACTTTGTTTTGTAGTGATCGCGGGTTGTTTTCATAACAAAAACAACATAGTGTCATTTGATCTCAAATTTTACAAATCCCCTTCAGAGATAGCCGGATGATGTTCGGGTTTGTCGTGACCCTCACGATTCAACTTTCTTAACATGCATTTAAACATCTGGTTAGATTTGAAGAATTCCTTGTCCTCATGGAGGGAAATATTTCGGCTATAGGGTTCTGATGTTAAATGCCCGTTAATGATGCCCTTACACCAACAACGCGCCGTTGACATCCTAGGTCTTCTCACATGCCAATGTAGACAAAATGCTGTCGATTTCGTTAGCAGCAACTAGCACGTTTAGATCGGTTATACCACTTTCCAATGTTTCATCGTAGTCGATACCATTCTAAGCTAGCTTCCTCGCTTGATTGACAGGTCGCCATCTTTGTTTGTAAACAACGGGGGTAGGGATACATTTGAAAGTTTTGGTGAATCGGTTTTTAAATTGCGACGGTAAATTTATAACACTGAACAATCAGTTACATACTAAGTTGAATTAGAATTGAGTTTATCGTATTTCGTACTTGACCATGATGCTTTGAAATGCGTTCAGTAAGTTTTGAAAATACACAAAATTAAAATTCATATATGCCATACATGAAGATGTAAGAAGAATGTTCTAGTTTAAAGTATATTCAGGTGTGAGCATAATCTGCGTAAATGATAAAAAATGATAAAATGATAAAATGTTTACACTGTTGCACTAATACGGTTCCATCGACCATAGGTTTCACACGAATTACATGTTTTCATGTGCTTGTGTGTGTGTTTGTATTATCTGGTAGCTGGTTGGTTCAAGCAATGTGTGGTGTAACTCATAGCGACTTAATATTCTAGTTTAACCTCCAAGACACAGTGCATATACACTGACGTGTGCTTATTTCATGGAATGATGATTTGGGGATTTAGACATTGAAATAAGATAATTGACTTTCAGATAACTACTTGAGGATACATTTCACGAATTTGAAATACACGGAAATAATACTACAAGAAATAAGAACTACTTGGAGCCACATATATATTTCATACTGAATGTTAGATAAATCCGACTTGACCATCATACTTGTCCTAGACATCGGAAAGCAATCGCTCCATATCGTGCATGTTATGCAAACAAGATATATTATGTACATTTTATATGTATATTTACATGTATCGAAATTCAGTTCGACTTGTCAGTACAATTTAAACTTATTTTTAGCTAATGGGACTATAAACCGAATTCGAGAATTCAGAGAATTCCACACATCCTGTTCGACTCATTCAGGTTAAAATACGGATACATATAGTTTAGTAAGAGTTTACTAGGAGGTCTTCACAGCCGGGGTTTCGACAACTGTGAGACAACGGGATCAACTATAAAGTCAATGTGGTAGAAAAGACAAACGTCAAGAGTGAAATATAGTTGCGAGGAGCAATGTAGGGCTCCTTGGCTTTAATACAATCTAGCCACTTGAACCTGTGATGTAGATGAAAGAAGTAATGGCTACAGTTAATAGGGATCATATCACTGCCAGTAACGGGAAATGCGTCATTCGTTAACTCTGAATACTTATGGTCCAGGGTAAGATACAAAGGACTGTGTAGTGTGGTTTGGATAATGACACCAGTGGCTTTGGAAAGTGACTACAACCAAATGATGAGAATTGTGATTCACTGTGATTCACATTATATGGATCGAAACGTAAGTCTATCTTAAGCAACAAAACAAACGTTTCAAGTACTCTAATTTCAACAACATATCGAAAAAATACCAATTACCCATTACCTTATTGACTGAGCATATTTAAATTGCTAACGAGCTCATGATGAATCTACAAAACTTCAGTCCACCAGCAAAATTATCGACCCAGTCTAATTAGATATAAGACGTCAGTGCAAATCACATCCATTCACTACACTTTGGTGGTTCATCTGGTGTAAAATCGACCAAACATATTCATACCCTTTCCAGCTGAATGTTCATTACTACGGTACGACATTCCAAATTAATTGATTTCTTGAATTACTACCAACAGAATTAATAACAACTATTTCTGATTCAATGACAAGATTTATTATCTTGCCTTCAAGCACTTCAAAATGTTACTTCAAGTCACCCTATTATCCAGGACACTTTCTACTGGCAAATGTGACATCATCCTCTGCTGGTTTGCCAGGTCACGTCGGCATAACAGCTAACACAAAGGCCGATGCTGCAGCTAAAGCAGCTCTTGACAAGCCCTTATCTCCACTGCTGATCCTGTATGTACAGTGACTTCAAACACACTATCAAAAGTTATAGTCGGGACCTCATTCAAAAAAGGTGGGACACCCAAGTAGGAAAAAATAAACTTCATGAATTGAAACCAACAATCGGTTATACCTACTTCGGATGTCAGTCAAGACATCATGAGGAAGTTTTACGACGACAGACAGTCTGTGTACTCATGACTATCTGCTGAAAACGAATAATGCCTACCCCACAAAAACAGCACCTGTATTCTGGCGATGAAGTGTGTTGGAATTCCAAATAGAGGGATGTCGGATTAGAGAGAGTTTCTTATATGATATCATATAGGGACAAATTAGGCACCAAATATACATGTCGGTTTTACAGGGAATGTCAGATTAGAGAGGATCCACTGTAAATCTATTTGCCCGTTTGACAACTGGCGCGAACCCACCGTCACTATCGGCAGCTGTTGCCGGGAGAAGCGATGGTGTGAGACAGTCATGACATAACATTGCGTCACTGCCGAGAACGCCCACCTTCTATGCATTGTCTGCCAAAATTAAGGAGGTGCCCGATATCAAGATATTTCAACGTTTGCAGTGTTGATCAATATCCCATTTTCTTAGCCCATATATCCATTACTCTGTTTGTATCATCCTGTCGCAACAGACTGTGTGAATTCACAGCAAGTAAGATATTTCTATAGTCAGTGCACGTATTCATTACACTGTTACTATCACGCTGTCATTGCTGAACTTCTGAACACAAGAGCAAAATAAATAAATAGGTCACTTATAACCATAAACAACCTGCAGAAGACCCAGTTGATAAAAAAAATGTATTTGCTCTTTCGGCATTGGAAAGCCACCGAGTGGGGGTTGTTTGGAGATTTTACGTACGCTTCCATCAGTTATCTCAGTTACATCTAACAATCATGAAAATTGAAAAACAGTGATACTTTTAACATGCACTAAAGAACAGAAAATGATCAGCAAACCTTTGAGATACATACTGCAAATTTTCATTGTGCTCTGTAGAGAACCGATGAAGATAACAACTACAGTGAGGAAAATTTCACTTGTCTCTGTTCTCTTTGGAGATACATTACTGTAATGGGTAGATATAATCGGCAAGTACAACCAACATGCACAGGTAAATTTTTGTCGAAATCGGACGGCTTGTCTCATAGTTACGGGTGTTTGAAGTGCATTTAAAGGCTAGAAACCGTTAAAAACGGAACCAGAACACGTTTTTGACACGCGAGCCGATCTTCCAAATACAGCAGGGGTCGCTGGGGTCATGTACCTTTTTAAGAAGTTCTGGAGACAAAATAGTGCCCTCTTTAACAGGTTGTAGCTCCGTTGTCCTTGGGTCTACAGGCAAAACAGTTAGTGTTCTGGAATTGCCAGGAATTCAACTATCAAATGCACACACATGACACAAGCCTACCTGTCAAAAACGTGAAATTTCTTTAAATCCAATATGGCGGCCAAACGGTGCCTCCTAGCCCCATGGGTCCTGCAGTTGAAATTGAAGATAATCGATTTCCAGAGCTGCTCCAGAAATTTGGTAGTCATTGGACATACGGAGGTTATTGCTTTGGAAATTGAAATTTTTGAATTAATTTTGAATTATCTCCCCTTTACTATTAGGCCTAGAGCCTTGAGATTTTTGCAGAAACAACTTCAGCACGGTCGACACCTTAGTGATATTTTTCAAGCGATTCTGTCCAGCGGTGCTTTTTGTACGAGTGGTACAAAATACGGCGGAATAATAAATAATAAAAACATTAAAGATTACAATTGGTCTCCTGCTTTGCAGCAAGGAGCCCTAATGAAACGAACAGAATGTATATTGTTTATTTAACGCCGTTTACAGCAGCATTCAATAGGACGAGGCAGTGAAGTGATTGACATCATGGGCATCGATCTGGACAACCATGTCAGTGAATCTATTGCCTTTAATGACAAGTATGGGTTACTGAAGACCAATCGATCTGGACAACCATGTCAGTGAATCTATTGCCTTTAATGACAAGTATGGGTTACTGAAGACCAAACGATCTGGACAACCATGTCAGTGAATCTATTGCCTTTAATGACAAGTATGGGTTACTGAAGGCCAATCAATCTGACAACCATGTCAGTGAATCTATTGGCTTTAATGGCAAGTATGGGTTACTGAAGACCAATCGATCTGGACAACCATGTCAGTGAATCTATTGCCTTCAATGACAAGTATGGGTTACTGAAGACCAATCGATCTGGACAACCATGTCAGTGAATCAATTGCCTTTAATGACAAGTATGGGTTACTGAAGACCAAACGATCTTGACAACCATGTCAGTGAATCTATTGCCTTTAATGACAAGTATGGGTTACTGAAGGCCAATCAATCTGACAACCATGTCAGTGAATCTATTGCCTTTAATGACAAGTATGGGTTACTGAAGACCAATCGATCTGGACAACCATGTCAGTGAATCTATTGCCTTTAATGGCAAGTATGGGTTACTGAAGACCAATCGATCTGGACGAACCATGTCAGTGAATCTATTGCCTTTAATGACAAGTATGGGTTACTGAAGACCAATCGATCTGGACAACCATGTCAGTGAATCTATTGCCTTTAATGACAAGTATGGGTTACTGAAGACCAATCGATCTGGACAACCATGTCAGTGAATCTATTGCCTTTAATGACAAGTATGGGTTACTGAAGACCAATCGATCTGGACAACCATGTCAGTGAATCTATTGCCTTTAATGACAAGTATGGGTTACTGAAGACCAATCGATCTGGACAACCATGTCAGTTAATCAATTGCCTTTAATGACAAGTATGGGTTACTGAAGACCAATCGATCTGGACAACCATGTCAGTGAATCTATTGCCTTTAATGACAAGTATGGGTTACTGAAGACCAATCGATCTGGACAACCATGTCAGTGAATCTATTGCCTTTAATGACAAGTATGGGTTACTGAAGACCAATCGATCTGGACAACCATGTCAGTGAATCTATTGCCTTTAATGACAAGTATGGGTTACTGAAGACCAATCGATCTGGACAACCATGTCAGTGAATCTATTGCCTTTAATGGCAAGTATGGGTTACTGAAGACCAATCGATCTGGACAACCATGTCAGTGAATCTATTGCCTTTAATGACAAGTATGGGTTACTGAAGACCAATCGATCTGGACAACCATGTCAGTGAATCAATTGCCTTTAATGACAAGTATGGGTTACTGAAGACCAATCAATCTGGACAACCATGTCAGTGAATCTATTGCCTTTAATGACAAGTATGGGTTACTGAAGACCAATCGATCTGGACAACCATGTCAGTGAATCTATTGCCTTTAATGACAAGTATGGGTTACTGAAGACCAATCGATCTGGACAACCATGTCAGTGAATCTATTGCCTTTAATGGCAAGTATGGGTTACTGAAGACCAATCGATCTGAATCTACCATGTATGTCGGTTACTGAAGACCAATCGATCTGGACAACCATGTCTATTGCCTTTAATGACAAGTATGGGTTACTGAAGACCAATCGATCTGGACAACCATGTCAGTGAATCTATTGCCTTTAATGACAAGTATGGGTTACTGAAGACCAATCGATCTGGACAACCATGTCAGTGAATCTATTGCCTTTAATGGCAAGTATGGGTTACTGAAGACCAATCGATCTGGACAACCATGTCAGTTAATCAATTGCCTTTAATGACAAGTATGGGTTACTGAAGACCAATCGATCTGGACAACCATGTCAGTGAATCTATTGCCTTTAATGACAAGTATGGGTTACTGAAGACCAATCGATCTGAACAACCATGTCAGTGAATCTATTGCCTTTAATGACAAGTATGGGTTACTGAAGACCAATCGATCTGGACAACTGTGTGAGTGAATCTATTGCCTTTAATGACAAGTATGGGTTACTGAAGACCAATTCTGCAAGAATTACCGTACATAAGCACTCGGAGATACTAGTACAACAAGTGCTACTTCGTCTTTTAACAACGAATGTAGGACGTGTTCACGCTCTGTAGCCACCTGGGTCATGACATGCGCGCCGTATACATTACCACGGCTCCTTGCAACATCTACCCTGATGAATTAGATATAACTTACCTGTGTTTCTAGCTGTACTTTACCTGCACATTCGAACATTGATGCGCATGCTTGGCTTCACCCGGACAAATGGTAAACATCTATTTCAACGATAATACCAGCTACTAGTGGCAGCATTCATTATTATAGGCAAGTAAACGATCAATAGAGCGTTATGTAAGAAGCATGCTGTCATAAATATCTCACCTGAGCGACAGTCCCTTTTGTCCCACGAAATTCACTTTACGGTTGTGTACACAGCTGAACAGGTTCGTAATCTAGACCCCCTTCCTGGTCTGTGCGGCAGTGTGTCGCAATGGCTGTGAGAGACGGTGTTGTGATTTGGCTTGCCAGTTTCAGCCTCGTTACAGGTAAGTATGTTTTTAGTATATGTGTTTCAGCGCCAATTGAGGGCATCATATACCTGTCAGTATTTCTAAACGGGTAGATGGGTGTAATTCAGAATAGCAACATTATCCCAGCGATATACAAACTATAAGTGAAAGGTTTATGTTGATATATATAGATTCTATCAGTGTAGCATGATCACATTCGGCAAGTAAGCTGGGTAGAAAACATATGAAAGTTTATCAAAATATGTCGAAGCTCTATTGATATTATAACCCAGTTTAGAACTTCAGTGCGTTATCGACACTTATGTTTGTTTTTCGATTCATCAACAATGAATGTATGCAGAGAGGTAGTCGTATACTGTCAGAACCTACTTCACATTGCATTAAGATGTATTATGCAGATATACCAGGCAAGTTCATATGACATGACTATACTCAAGAGGCAGGTCACCATAACATTCACAACGGCTGACTGGCTTCAGTGAACCTGGCGGATATACATTTCCGCGGTTATGTGGATGTCTTAAACAGAGTAATATATAACAGCTATGCCCTTATCACAAAGTACTTGTGTTTGGCCTTCCCCAGAATTTGACATTTGAAGTTATTGTCGGCGTATGTCTCATCATTGTAAAGATATGAAGCAAGCGTTTATCGTGATACCTGTAATTCCATACCTGTAACGCCATGACTGCATGAAACAGAATGTAACAATATCATCAGTTGCCCGGAACGAATGAAATGAGTTCGGCCGTAGCCAGGGCATTTCCTGTATCTACCAGCATCGTCAATTCGACTTCAACTAACTGTGACTGATTACAAAAAAGATCGCATAGATTCTCAAGTTGGAACAAAAAGTTAACCTGAAATCTGCACGTAACAGAATTGTGTGACACCAACTGAAATGTGTATGTAAAAGAAACCACTTAGTGTGAAACCAACAAGACACATAGAAATGTGATACAATTAATTATTGTATGTTAAAACAAAGTTTTCAAAATTGTACCAATCGGTACAAAGGAATGACAATGGCAGTACATACTGGCGTGGCAGAATACATTCAGTGGCAGTACTAATACAATGGCAATACACCATAAAAGCATTGACTATAGTAATGAAGTCAGTGATGAGTATCTTCACATCGCTGTGATAGTTTCAGTCTTCCAATACAGGCCTGGACTGGGAATTCAGGGTGATCGTCACACAACTGCTGGTCTTATTGTAATGCTAAATGATATGTGAGATAACCAAGGCCAGAGTTAGGCACCCTTCATATACGTGAAAAGCCTCAAAAAAGAGAAAAAAATTACAGAGACGGCAAAACACTTTGCACATTGGTAAGAAATCTCTACTAAAAGCAGAGTCGACTTTACAATTCTGACTATGTCATGAGTATGTGTTTGTTGACGGAGCATTCAGCAGCGTAACAGCTGTACGACGTGATCTGTAAACAATCGAACCTGGGCAAGACAATCCAATGATTGAATCCATGAGAGACATGGCTGAGCATGTCTTTCTGAATCACTATCAAATAATAATGATATTAGGTGTTCACAAAAGAGGTGAGCTTACCTACCCTACCGGTTGCACCGGTCATAAATAAAATGATTAAAAAACATCCTATGAAAAACATTAGGGACATTATGGTAGAAGTCAAACTCGGGAAATGCATCGGAACGACTGGTTATGTGCATGTCTTCAAACTATTCTGTCAGAAAGTAATAAGAATGCAAACACTCATTTTTTACGGTCCATTCATAGATTTTTTCAGGCACGTCAGCTTTTGTTTTTGTATTAATCACGAACGATGGAAAAACATTCAGAATTGTGAAATAGTATGTGGGAGAAGGTGTCTGTCGTTTCTTCATATAAAAGAGAATCGCCAATTTTGGGTTTATTGTCCAGAGTTATTCCACAGTCCAGACCACAGTCCAGAAATAGGCATTGTTGGCGCCATGTATGTCGTCGGGGTCCGAAAGTAATCAACCATATATTTTAGCCTGACCTGCACATCCATTTAGTCGCCTCGTTCGACTAGCATAGGCACTCTACTCTGAACCTGAATTCCCGAGGGGATGTTTATATATAAATAGCTAGTAACAACCTGTCGACTGAGAGGTATTTATGTTACAGATGAGGTAGATGATATGACACTGCAGACGAAGTAACATTCGTTGACTACAACTTAACAGGGCACCAGAAAATCAGTGTTAGATTGTAACCTGTAAAATCAGTTTTCGAAAAATGCCGATACACAAGAAATACAAAAAACAAGGAACAAGTTTGAAAGAATATATATTTTAAGAATACTCTTACCATCGTGTTTAAATTGTATAAACAGACGTGAAACACGGCAGTACAATCTAGCTTATGGAAAAACACGAACACTCATCTTTAAAGTGTTAACATTCAGTTGACCAGTTTGGATGGGATATTGCATAACCGTTTGACATTTCGCACCACGTTTGTACACGTGACCACTTGTTCCAAACTATTTTTTAAGGGCTGAATTGTAAATGACACTGCTGAAAACTGAAAATAACTTTGAATAATACTGTATATGTGAAATACATACCTTGGACACGAGTTGTTATCATTCTTTACGTGGAACTTCGTCTCATTTATCAGGTACTGCTACAAACGTTGCCCTGAACAAACCCGCATGGATGAGTTCAGCCTTGGACGGAAATCATCCTGCCAGCAAAGCTGTCGATGGAGATACAAGAGCAGACCATGACAGATACGTAGCCCACACAGGGACAGGTCAAACTATCGCCTGGTGGAAGGTGGATCTGCAGACACAAGTACAATCAGCACGGATTATCCTGTACTTCAGAACAGACTGTACGTATAGACTAATTACGTAATTCATATGAAACAGAACCACGATAAGAATTGCAAACCATATTCTGACGTTTTCCTGGATTCATGCACTGAAATCCATCTTAATGTCGACCACTGTACTATAGTTAAAACGAGGCTGATTTCTATTTTCAGTTCATGCAAAAAGCCATCAACTTACGATTATGACGTTTACATTTCCCAACTGCTCATTTTCTTTTGTGGCATATTCATTTCTCAGAAAAACATAGCGTGTCTACAACCTAACTTTTCCTTCACGATAATGTAAGTATATTTCGGCAGACATACATTCTAAATTTACAAAATATCAACACCTTGCTAATTTTTTTCATGGTCTAGCATGTGACGCTGAGTATTAACTCACCCATGCTCTAGCCAGTAGAATATGTCTATACTATAATTAAGTAGAGGTCACGAGACAGCGGCCACTGTTCACCGGGTGTCAAATCAAGGTGACGATATGTCAGTGAAAGAGCAAAAAAAAAAAAGAAGAAGAAGAATGGTGCCGGCAAAGCAAGACACATAACTGTGAGTTGGGACTGAGATTCTAACCCCAAATAATAGGTTTTTCTCAGAGACGGTGGGGCTGCCTAATGGTTCGAGCGCCTAATGGTTCAAGCGTTCGCTCGTCACGCCGAAGACTCGGGATCGATTCCCCACATGGGTACAATGAATGAAGCTCATTTATGGTGTCTTAAAACATGAAGCCACGCATTCTTAACTACCGTCGTACTTTTGTGGAGTGACATTTAACATCTTCACTGGTGGAAACTATATAGCTGGATAATATGTCTCAAAGAACCGGTGAATGCCATAGAACAAATTCAAAGGATGTTCACCAAACAACCCACAACGAAAAGACACACGTCTTTGCAGAACAGTACTGACGTTAACCAAACACCATGGTGTCAAACAATTGTTGTAGATACTCAAGGGATACACATAAAAGTCGGACATGTACAATGTGACCTAACTGTATGCCGTAGTTAGACGCAATGGTTTGTTGATGTCACTCAGTTCTGGTGTTCACGGTTGTATTCCATTGCTTGAGACGCCATGTACTTAGTCTAGTGTATCTCTTCTTGTTTCAGACATTTCTAGACGTAATGGCGTGCACCTGTACACATCAGGGACAAATTCATCTGAACCCACAGAAGGAAATCTATGCCACACTGTAACAGGGCGTCCTGACGGTACAGACATCGATGATGTACTGAATGTGACCTGTCCTGGGACCTGGCGATACCTCACTGTCTATACAGAGACGGATAATAATGGAGGCGGTGTTATGTTAGACGTTGCTGAAGTGCAGGTGTGGAGTAAGTATTCTGTTGTGCGTGAAGTAATAACTGTATTAAAGAAATCTCTCTCCAGACCAATTTACACTATTGTTAAATTTAAAAATGAAAGAACATTTAATAAATGTTCCACTCTGAAACTATATAGCATGCCTTTCATTCCCTTGTTATTTCTTTTTCTCCCATTATGCAGATGAACAGCGCGATGGTCATGCATCACATTGCTTTAAAGCCTGTGCAAATATCGTGCATGTGCACTGCTGCGTTTTGGTGTAAAGAATAATTAATAATTCGCCTCTGAGTTTCATCATTTATTGAACGTTTTTTTCAACATTACGAATTTGTTTTACAGTACATCAGTTCATGTGTAAACAGTACCTATAAACAGTGTGGAATATTTTGCAAAATCTAGTTTAGAACAGTTGACTGAAGTACGTGGCTACATTTACATTAGTGAGTCTAAACGTTTGATGGGTAGTATATTTGACGTTGAAAAGTGTATAGAATCAGTATGACACGGATGGTTGGTTGGCTGGGGTGAATGAGTGAGTTGGTCACATCGGCAGCATTTCAGCATCAGAATGGTTCGCTTACATTGATTGATCAGCTTCATTTTCATCCTGTCGGTACCTCTTTGAAACAGGGAATTGCTCCTCAAAGATGTGAACATCAACATAATAATTTTTGGTTGCATATGTTATCAGTGATAGCTTCAAACAAACGATCACAAGACTTCATTTGCACATTCTGATGACATTTCGAAATTTGATGCATCAGTGACAAAAATGATGCCCGATACAATTCCCTCATTTGACTTGTACCATATGTTCAAGAATTATTTCAGGTGAACAGGATCCACTCACCTTTACGCAACACTTGGTATCATTAATATTTCATGGTGATTTATAAACACATGCTCTGTCATTGTACCGCATGGTGACAATCACTGGATTGTCTAGTTTGTAATACTGCTGAAACAAATATACACTCATGAAGTAGTCAATTTTACAATCAACTCTGCTTTTAGCAAAGCTTTCTTATGGGTGTGAAAAGGGTTTTGTCACTTTATTTAGACACAATTTTTAGATTAAAGCTCAGTGCCGAATGTAATTGTTCGAATCGTGAATGTTTGCGACAACAAAATCAGACGTCAGGCACACTTCCATGGAAGCTTAGAATGACCCATACCGTTGCTGCCGACTTTGAATATTCATTTCAAGAAGTTGTGTAGGGTTCGTCCGTAAATAGTTCCATAATGAGCCAGTCCCACAAAATACGCCTTGAAAGGAAATCTGGTGGTAGATGAGACCAGTCAATGTTAGTTAATGGTATAAATGATAAGATGTATTATGCTCATTGGGGCATGTTTTCCCTGTAGTCATGGGATGCATGACAACGGCAAAAGCTTGATTAATAAATGCCAGAAGTAGTTTAATGTAGGCAGCAAACTAACATAATATAGAAGGCAAAGCAAATTTGATGAGTGTGACTATCTTTTGTGGTATAAATACCAATGACTGTTGTTTCTACAAGATTTCATCACTTTGTTCATAGTAAAAGGTTGTAAAGACCAATAATGATTTTTATGAAATTGATGCACAGATCAAGTATCTTTAACATGTGCGACGCATATTCAGATAAGGCTGTTGTTATACTTGAGAAATATTCTGACAAGAACATACATATAACTTTCAACACTGAACATTTATTCGCAAAACTACACTGTAGTTCAGTCGGTTTCAAACGAGTGAATACTTGGTTTTGTGAATGTTTTATCAATTATCAGAAACTGTCGGAATACACTAGGAACCAAGGATGTGCATTCCGTCACATTTACAACGATCATCAAAGTACAAAACATACTGATTGTCCTGCATGACCACTCTTTTCGGTTTCGAAAAGTAATGAATGTCAATAAAATAAATAATTGTTTGGCTCACGTGGGTCCTAATTGATGTATGAATGTGTGAAGCATATTTTAGGACTTCAATTCACGATGTAACGAGAGTAAAAATCAATTTCCAGCAGAGGAAACCCAAAACTAAATAACTCAATCAAAAACTAGATACATACATGATAATGCAACTAAAGGCAAAGAATTGGCCTTTCATTGAGGATATGTTGAAATGATGAATTTACAATGAGCAACCTTTTGATATTCTATAATCTTCTTGTATAGAACAAGTTTTGTGATACTATTTGCAGTCAGACGACATCCTACATCGTGGCTAATAGTATCAGACCGGTTCCGGAATATGCATAATATAATAATGATGACTGTGTCTCAGTTTTCTAGTAGATCGCGTAAGATCTTAAGAAGTGTAAGGTATCGAGGCATTCAGCTGGTCATATTAGAATAGATATAGAAACCATAAGGTGTATTCGATGAATGAAACATGTTTGTTGTTACAAATGAAAATCAACCGATAAAAATCAGAATTCCTGTCAGGTACTGGTTTCCACTGTGAAAATTCAGATTCAGTGATTTTAACGTAAAACGATAAGAGTGAGTGAGTTAATATTTATCGTCACATCGGCAATATTCAGCCATACGTGACGAGATCAATAATATTAGAAGCTATAAAACTGTTTACAATGAACAATAAAACTACTAGTGTATTACAGATAGAGATATAAAATTATATGTAACTAAAAACTTATACTAAAATGCAAGACAATACAATATAAAAACGGGCTATAAATCACCAGCAACTGAAGGTAGATCTCCATACTAGGGACCATGGGGGACTTACAGTGCTTTTGTTATCATCTTAATAAATCAATTATTAAATGATAGTTAACATTATGAAAGAGATCTTTAACTGTTTTGACACTGAAATTGAATATTCATGAGAATACAGGTATTCATAAGTATATCTAGTATGGCCAATACGACATCGTCGCATAATGACCTCTTCAACCCTGGACTGACAACCCAAGTATGTGTAACCAATATAGGGTTTTATTTCATGTAATTTATTGATACATACTTGGGTGTCCCACTTCTTCTGCATAAGATCACGGATGTAAGTTATAATGCCAGCTTTGTAGTCAGAAGTGGTGTCACAGACTAAAAAAAATAAGATGAATTATGTGTAAGACTGATTTTGTGAAAATGTGCTTGTAGACTTGTTGTGCCAAACAGATCAATGTAATCATTTGTTATTTGATTAAACATATAATGTAACTATCCTGCATTCATTGTAGCATGTTCCGCTGGCCTGTATGGAGTCAACTGTAACAAGGCCTGTAACTCTCGCCACTGCTTCGGTTCAACCGAGTCGTGTGATTCCATCACCGGGGCGTGTTCCAGTAGACAGTGCCAGACAGGATGGACAGGAATAGACTGTGCAGGTGAGTGTTTTGATAAATCGGATGTAGATGACCAAATAATGTCTGATGTTTTGACTCAAGTAGGGACAACTAGATGCATACATGGTAATGCAACTCTTGGCAAAGAATGATCTGGTCTTTCATTGAGGATCTGTTGAAATAATGAATTTACAATGAGTAACTTTTTGATATTCTTAATCGGATGTAGATGACCATAATGATATCTGGTGTTTTGACTCAAGTATAAACTTAAGGTTTGGTGCAGGTCGAAGATGTTGTACACATTGGTGAATCTTCAAGCAATGATAATAATTTGCCAAACTTGGTATTTGAACCCTGCACCAAGAGACCTCCTTGTAAAGCTACAGGGACGAAACTTTGCGCAGCGAATTTCTGCATGTGTTCATAAAATGTTGCAGTTAATATTTACATATTGTTATTACAGAATGATGATAACTATATGAATATACAACTTCTTTATTCTGTGAAAGGCGACGTTTCACCATAGATTCTAATGTCATTATCGGGCAAGTGATCACTTGTACATCCATAAAATTATCATCATTCTTCATCACCTGAACATCTAAAATGCCCAATCAAAGAAGATGTTTTTAAACAAATATACTCACAGATTTACCTTTCAGTGGGCAACTTTCCCTCATGCCGAGCCCGAGCAATCTTTCAGATTTGTTACGAGGGAGGAGTGCAAAGCGAGGCACGCGCACAAGTGCCGACAAACTTATTGATTCATTTACCCTTGCTGTTCCTCTCTTTGCGCTCCTCCCTCGTAACAAATGGGTACGTAAGTCCCAAAACTTTCAAAGTAAAATATAAATTATCACATTTTAAACGTAGTATTTTTGTTATTTTAACTGTTGGCTAAATTTTCCTACAATCGCCAGCGGCTGAAGGGATGGTGTAAATCCAGCTAGGATCCATGCAGGTAGCAAAAGTAATGTAAGTCCCCATGGCTCCTAGCATGGTGATCTACCTTCAGTTGTTGGCGATCTATAGCCTGTTTTTATCTTGTATTGTCCTAATAGTGCTATTAGTTTTAACCTTCCACACTAGTTTTAAATCTAATTGTGATATTCTAGTTGTTTTACTGTCCTTCGTTGACAGGGTTTTATATATAATATGTCTGTATTACAAAGTTAGAACTAGTTTTAGTCACGATATGGCTGAAATATTGCCGATGTGACTTTAAATCTTAACTCACTCACTCACTCGTAACAAATGGTGAACTGTGATTATATTTTATTGATAGTTTGTTAAACAACTTTTTAGTTTTAGGACATTAATTCACAAAAAATCACAGATTTGGTCTGATGTTTTGATTATGATCAGCGTTTCATAAAGTATTATATGTGTATTAGTTTTCGAGTTAGATTGCAGTACATCGGTCCGCTTTTGAGCCAAGCGTTTTATATTTTAATATTAAACTAAGAGATGTTCGGTTTACTTTGATTTGATCGAGAAAAGAACTTTCGAATTTAGAAAAATACAACTAAAATACTAGGATTCTGACAATGTGTCAATTCCAATGGGAGTTGTATTGTTAAGAAAATGCAAATTTGCAGAAATTACAAGACGAAAAAGCTTATTATGTTTCCCGTCGACACCATGTGACGTTTCAGTTGTCGCATCATCGCATTGTCACTCAAAATTCTTGCTTTATATACTGAGTCAAAAAAGAAACTTCACAAAATGTAATTTGAAAAATAATGAATAATTTTTCTCTGATGATACATCTATGCATCCGAAATGGGATCCCTATCTTTCGACTCTAGAAAAACGTTAGCAAAACCCACTCAAACACATCCATTCGTCGTGCAAATGACGTTAGTGCCAAATCAGGTTTTGCACGTGCAGTCGATCACGTGATCTTCATATGCACGTGTTTGCATTGGCCTCAAGAATTGAAAAAACACTTTTAAACCACAGTTCTAACGGTTCTTGAAATGCCACGATTGTCAAATGTGCAACGTGAACGTGCCGTTGGCATGTTGCAAGCGGGAAGATCAGTTATTGACGTCGCAAGAGCAATGGGATGCAGCTGTCGTACTGTGTATGACTTGCGAGGTCGTCTACAACAAACTGGCACCACTTCTGATCGCCCAAGGTCGGGTCGTCCACGTGTGACGTCACGAGCAGAAGACCGTCAAACCGTCCTACGTCACCTACGTGACAGATTTCTGCAGGCTACACGAACCAGGGCTGAGATGTTTAGAGGTCGACTGTCCTCACAGACCATTCGAAATCGGTTGCGGGCTGCCAATCTCCATTCTCGACGTCCATACCGTGGGCCAATATTGACGCCGTTGCATCAACGTCAACGTCTGCTGTGGGCCTGTCACCCAGAGAGACTGGAATCGAGTCGTCTTTAGCGATGAATCCAGGTTTACCCTCAGATTCGCGGACGGCAGGCATAGAGTCTGGAGACGACGTCGTGAACGGTATGCCCAATGTTGTGTACAGGAAGTCGACAGATTCGGGGGTGGAAGTTGCATGGTGTGGGGTGCTTTCTGTGGGAACAACCGTTCCCGACTTCTGGCCATCCGTGGAAACCTCACAGCTGCTGCTTACCGCGACCAGGTGCTCACCCCTGAACTCGTTCCTTTCATGGCGGCTCATGGCCCAGGTCTACAGTTCCAGCATGAAACTGGTGACAGTAACACTTACAATGGTTCACACATACATCTGTAAACGTGCTGTTGCAACTTGGTTTATGCATTAAACACATACATTGCAACCAAACTATTGTAAAACATGTACTTAATTTACAAGAACATTCAGCAAATAGTACGTGCCGCTTCGAAACATATTTCTTACGCCTCATCAATTATACGTTAAAACATAGTTTACAGTCTCACTGTATATTGTATTTAATATCAATTCCTACAGCCTCCATTCATATGGGTTATCTCTTTTAACACTTATTATTACATTATTGTGTATGTGTACATTTATTACTCAGTCTGTGTGGAAGGAAAGTACGGTCCAAGCTGTACCAGAGACTGCAGCTCCAGACATTGCAAGGTATTCTCTTCTACGTGTGATCATATTACTGGAACCTGTCCTGCTGGTGGATGTCGGGTCGGATGGATTGGGGCGGACTGCTCCACAGGTAATGTAGTGTCATTTCATTATTCAGCAGTCAATATATAGTCACCTGGCCCTGAAGCAAGTTCAATATGTTAACAAAGTCTACATACCCGTATCCCAACTGACACAGTCGACCTAAAAATATCACATAGGCCTTGTGGCAATTTTTCGGGGTCAGTGAGCAGCCTTGAAGCTATTGCAATATCTTTTCACGCTCAACAACCAGGTTCAATCTTACAAGGGAATCATTTCCAGATGCTATTTTGTGCTGTCTTGTCACCTTATCGCTTAAAGATAGCTGAAACACTAAAAGGAAATGATTAGACTGTAAAAAGACGGCTGTCAATATTTTCACAGCAGATGCCTACAACCTGGTAAAAGACAAAGTGGAATTGTATGCATAATGACAACGTTAGAACGTAATCTCCAAGGCGACATAAGTGTCCTTACCAGATGAGAAAGAGGTATTTTGACCATTGGCTAGAGAACCTTAACACCAAGCGACCCGTGCAAATCCGGTTAGAATTGGTTTTCAACAGCCGATGCTTGTCGTAAGAGGTGACTAACGGGATCGAATGGTCAGGCTCGCTGACTTGGTTGACACATGTCATCATATCCCAGTGGCGTAGATCGATGCTCATGCTGCTGATCACTGGATTGTCTGGTCCAAACTCTATTTACAGACTGTCGCTATATAGATGGAATATTGCTGAGTGCGGGGTTAAACAACAACCAACCAACCAACATTCATATGACACGCTGCCACAATATTGCTGAAACAACAACCAAGTGCTTGTTCAATTTGTGAAAATATTTTGCAGTGAACATGCTTTATATCCTATTATATAGTGTTGCATTGTCACCGTTAGGGGATACCGGAAATCATCTTCAAATTTCAGTTAGAAATTCTACCTTGTGTCATTGTTCTTTTGGTTTAACGTCACAATTATTACGCTATATGTCCATGGTCTGCAAATGGTCGAGTTTGTCGATCTATGCAATTGGAATACAAACACGAGGACATTTGTCAACCAAGTCAGAGAGCCTGACCACGAAATCCCGTTTATCTTGAGTGTACTTTGCGTCAGCCCCAGTTCATATGGGTTATCTCTTTTGATCCTGAATACTATTATTGTTATTTCATTTCTTGCTCAGAGTGTTCCACTGGAAAATACGGTGCTAACTGTGCCAAGGACTGCAGCTCTAGACCCTGTAAGACGTCTTCCAGCATTTGTAACAGAATAAGTGGAGCCTGTCCAGATGATGGATGTGAATACGGATGGATGGGAGCGGACTGCAAAACAGGTAATGTTGTTGCACGAATAGTATCACAATAGTTATAGTCCACCTAGGAATATAGAATGTTCATACCAATGTTTGTCGGGTCCTTGTTTACACTGAACAGTCGGATTCGATTCCCAAAAGGAATTCTACCGTTCAGGATTTCACATCGACGAAATTATCACTGAGGATAACAATTTCAGCAGTGTCTACAATGACATGCTTCGTCCAACTGGCCTGTTTTTTTAACAACGGCTGTCATGGTGAGTCGTTTATCTGCATGCCAACGTCAGACCCCATACGACCCGAATTGTACAGAACATCCTCGATAGACACCTTTGCAGTGTCATGGATCATCATGTTCGACAGCGAACATATCTTCCAGCCAGCTTACAAGATCTGAACCGGGCCTCCAAGAAGAATGGCGACATAGCCCAAGTGACGTCATCAGACGGCTGATATTTTTCTCTTTATTTCTTGTAGCTGTGTGGTCAAACACGCTATTGATATGACGTGTCATTGAACCTGAGCGATTTTAAATGCGTGTGCCCATTGTTCACTAAGTTTCTATGCTGTATGAATGTTATGTTAAATGTTGAGTTTACTTCATCTATAAATCGTTTGTGGTTTATAAACAAGTTTGATGTAAAACTATGGTAACGTTCCCTCTGGTCGTCATGTTAGAACATTGTAGTGGAACAGAATGAATTCGAATTGAATGACTCATTGTAACTTACATGGATGGTAATTGTCTTCATCATCCTACACATCCAAATAACGATGGCACATTCTCATTCAAACACAATGCCCATTCTCCGACTGGTTTGAGTTACATAATATGCATAGGTTATTACTCTTCCTTAAAATAAAATTTTCAATTTCTAATGATAACACATCATATCTAATGTTAGTGACAACAGACTTGTATCTCTAGTCTAAAGTAGTTAAGTAAAATTCATTTTTGAAATTGGTTCGAAACTGTCTTTAATGCCGTACATGTAGCTTTGGGCTGCCAATACCACCATGCCATTCGGATATATAGTACTCTTAAACTAACGATATTCATGAACTGATATATTATTTTCACACTTTGTTCAGCCACATATTCATAGAGCCATGTCTACACGGAAGATCTTTAACATGTTAAATCTTTCCACACTTACTTAACAGTGCAACGTGTATAACGTTTCCTTACATATGTGGGGCCTGGGAACCTAACAAGGGTTAAGACAAACCATAATCATGCTCTTTGAGGTATTAACATACAGTGGTAATCACATTCACCTTTGACATGTTGACCTATTTCTACAAACTGAAAATGCCATCTTTAATGTACAATAACATCTTTAGTGTCCAGCTAAATCAAACTGATAGATAGATCGATAGATCGATCGATCGATCGATAGATAGATAGATAGATAGATAGATAGATAGATAGATAGATAGATAGATAGATAAATAGAGATAGTTGCCCTAAAACAGCACATGTGTTTTAAGCCCTCAGAACATGAACATATTCTTTTATACATTATATTTCTGGACCAAGCAGCATAAGTATGATAATTTCCCAGAAACAGTTGATGGTAATTACTTGGGTCACTTTTTATACTGACTTTAGGAACAAGGCTGATAATAGACTTTGACCACGGTTTATTGTTAAAGCTTTTTTTATTTTCATAGAGTGCAATGGGTTTGTTTCATATCTTGCTCAGAGTGTTCGTCTGGAAAATACGGTGCTAACTGTGCCAAGGGCTGCAGCTCCCGACATTGTAAGACGTCCTCCCCGACATGTGACCGATTCAATGGAGCCTGCTCTGCTGACAGGTGTAAGGATGGATGGATGGAGGTGGACTGTACTACAGGTAATGTGGTAACATTGATGACTATAGTCCGTTTGACTTCATTTTAGACTGATGAATTGCTCACAAACACAAAATCTAATAATTGCAACAAAACCAAATTTTGCAAAGTCACATGAAATCGACAGACCAACTCTGATGATTTGTCTCATAGTTTTGGACACCAGATTATAAAAGTTGTTTAACAAACGATCATTATTTTGTTGTCACTTTTCGCTATTTCTTACGAGGGGGACCACTAGGTGGTAGAACAGCAAGGTAATCAACAAGCGTGTGCAGTGAAATTTCAATTTCACACGTACAACTCGCACACCTGGCTGTTCTACCAACAAGTGGTAGAAAGATAGAAGAGATAGCGAAAAGTGACAACAAAAATAATGATCGTTTCAGAAACAGCTTTTATATATTTAATATATATATATATATATATATATATATATGTTTTATTTATTTATTTTTATCACAAAAATCAGGAGAGTTGGTCTGTTGAGTTCATGTGACTGTGCATAATTTGGTAATGTTGCAATTATTTAATTTTGTGTTAAAATCTAAAATCTAAAATTCTGGCTAATTGTCAGATTGCCAGAACATTGTTGGTCAAACATTGCTATTATGTGTTGAAAAGTTTGATTGACAAGGTTATAAAACCTGGGCATCATGCGTCCGATTTATATTATTTTCGTATGGCTTGCATATGTTTGCAAGCTCAGGATGTTGGTGATATGAAACAATTCATTAGCATACATGTATTTAAATCAAGAACGAAGGACGTATGGATGCAAGACTGGTCTGCTCGTGTGCATAAATCTTTAATGTTAACATCTTACTGTAGCTTCAAGACCACCCTCCAAATGAAGCCATTTTGAAACCAAATCAAATCATCTAAATTTTGTCGCTTTCTTACACAATTCCGTTGTTCCGCTCCCAAATTAAAAACTGCATCATACAGACGGTCCGTTTCGAATACGATAATCGATGCAGTGTGCCCGTTTTGTGGGGATGGTCTTGAAGACGAATACCATGCCTTATTAATATGTCCATTATACATATATCCAAGAGATAAGTATATACCACTATATTACCATAAGTATCCATCTAAACAAAAAATTCATTCAATTACTGTCCAGCCATGATACTACTTTTTTTTGAAAATAGCAATTTATGTAACTAAAATGTTTAATGCCCGAAATGCAAACCTTGCGCTTGTATAACAATCCACAATGTTTGAATTATGTATGCAACTGTCTGTACATACTCGTCTCATATTTTCAATCCTATAACCTCTCCTGACATAACATACATTTGAATATGACAGTTCTGTATACTAGAATGCGCCTCCGGGTATTATGGAGCTAACTGTGGAAAAAACTGCAATCTTCGCAACTGCAAGGAGGACTCCAGCTGTGATAGCATACAAGGGCTGTGTGAAGGTGGATGTGCGGCTGGGTATAACGGAACAGATTGTACTGAAGGTATTTTTTTCACATAAGCAGCCGTTTTTGTTATTATATATGTTTGTAGCACCATGACAAATTGTCTCTTGCCAAAATACATCAATTTGTGAAGACGTTTACTTAGTTGTGTTGGTTGAACAATATTGCATAACCCAAAAAATTCTACCGCTAACGTCTCCGTGAACATGTGTAATCCTAACTTAGTTGATGTGTATCTTCAAGAATGATTGGCCATTCATTATAAAATGTAATGTACACAAATTATTTTATAATATCAATCATCTCTGTTCACACACTACGTTTTGTTTGTTTGCTAGTTTGTTGTTCAACGCCGCTCGCAACAGTATTCCAGCTATATGGCGGCGGTCTGTAAATAATCGAGTTTGGACCATACAATTCAGTGATCCACATCACGAGCTCTCGCAGTTGTGATACGATGACATGTGTCAAACAAGTCTGACCACCCGATCGCGTTAGTCGCCTCTGCAAGCATGGGTTGTTCAAGGATCATCCGGATCATCACGGGTTTACACATGTCTTTTGACACTTACACCAGTTCCACTTATTCTTATTTCAGCATGTACCAGTCTGATGTACGGTCCTAACTGTGTCAATTCCTGCAGTAACCGACATTGTAAAACAAACTCATCTACATGTGACGGAGTGTCAGGAGAGTGTATTGGTGGCTGCGAAGATGGGTGGACAGAAATAGACTGCTCCAGTAGTAAGTTACAAAGCGCCATTGGTTTGTATTTCCTGTTCATTATGTGACGTATTGGTTAAACTGAATTTGAACTTGTTCAAGGAAATTATATAGCATTTACCTTTTCAATTTGATTGTTGATTGCTACATGATAACGATGCAAACGTAAAAAGTAGTAGCCTCTAAAAGTAGTATACCATAATGGTGTCATCTGTACTAACCTGCAAGTTAGATGCACGTATGTACAGGTTTAGTTTAATATTCTTCCCGACAGGCTCTCGTACTATTCACGCTTGCTTATCAGGTATACGTGTATGTCCTGCAGTCAGACGACAGAATTGGACAGCTTACCTTTAGCACTGACATGGTTTGAAGATCAACAATAAATAGCGATGTTCAAAGGGTATATTAATTTAGTAACATCAATTAATTTATTTTAGTGAGTGAGTAAGTTAAGATTTAAAGTCACATCGGCAATATTTCAGCCATATCGTGATTAAAATTAGTTCTTAATTCATAATACATACATATAATATATAAAACCCTGTGAGCAAAGAACAGTAAAACCACTAGATTATCACAGATTGAGTTAAAACTAGCTAGCATATATCTTTAAAAGTGCAAAACTATTTTTGGACAATACAATGTAAAAATGGGCTATAGCTCGCAAACAACTGAAGGTAGATCACCATACTAGGAACCATGGGGATTTACATTACTTTTGCTACCTGCATGGATCCTAGCTGGATTTACACCATCCCTTCAGCCGCTGGCGATTGTAGGAAAATTTAGCCCACAGTTAAAATAACCAACAAATACTACTAAAATGTGATAATTTATATTTTACTTTGAAAGTACCTAATTTATTTTAGAACAATGTACAGCAAATAATAACGCAAATTGGAAACTATTCAGATATGTCGTCAAAAGTCTGAAATATGTTTCGTATATTACAGAAATAAGATTATCACCCTGAACTGTTAGACTTAAAGTATATTTCCAATCCATATCGGCTCCAATAAAAGAAATCACATAGTTAACAAAGCGCGCACTGCGAGTATATTCAACAGATTATCTGTAACAGAAAATGAAATATCTGACGTACTATGTTTTCAAATACGTAAGGCATCGATTTCAGACAGAAAAAGTCATAACAGAACAGGAAACAGCACCACTAATGTTTTATGTATATTGTTCAATAAGACATTGTACCATGTTACACAACCACTAGGCTAACTATCCGCCCCCAAGGAAATAATGAATATACTGAGGCGTATTCATATCCACATGAATTTAATGAGTGACGGTGACAGATTATTTTAACTCTTTAGCTTTGTATTCAGTTGAACAAGTAAGAAAGTAAGTATTGCTTGCCATCAAGCCAGCAATTTTGCAGCTATTCCTTTATAGTAGAAGAGATGTTGAACATCACTAAAATCTCAGTCAAGTATTACATGAAAGGATAAAAGTCTGCATTTTGTCCAATAGATTGACTTCTTTTCAATATGCTAAAATCAGGTGGTTAGAAACTGTTCTAAAAAGTTTAGATAAGGTGATAACATCATCATGAAAACGAGCAAATTCACGTACAGTTAATACTTGTTGGGCAATTGCATTGACGTGGATCTTCTCCTGTCAATTAAAAAACCGATTGTGTACAGTAACTGTGTCCACTATGACATATCCTTAGTTACAACGATCAAAATGGTAAGAAAGATAGTTCACAGCATTCGGTTCTTTGGTACAGAGGTAAACTGCTCTGATGGAAGGTATGGACCAGGATGTACAGAATTCTGCAATTCTCGCAACTGTAAAACACCGTCAATCGTGTGTGACGTCACTGGATCATGCGCAGATGGATGCCGGAAAGGCTGGCAAAATGCCGACTGCAGGACACGTGAGAATTGTTTTGAGAAATCTGTCTATTTCAACTGTTCAAATAATACCAGTTTGTTCCATTTTAATACCTCTAAATGTCGTTGAATTTAATTGAGGTAGATACTGAATAGACCAGTTGATAATGGCATACATATATATCAGGGAATTGTTTCCCATTTAAGTTATTTTTGCTTGAAGGTTTAATCAGTTTCACAGAGAGAAATAGTGTTTTATCGTTATTTGCTATTTTAAGTCTAATTCATGAGAACAATGAATGATTAAATATATCTCGAAATAGGGATAAATGCGCAAAACATAAATAAAACACATGGTCGTGAAACCTCTGTACCCAACACGATCCTAAATCAGACGTTTTATGATTGATCAGGGAAAAAGATGTTTCAGAAACTATCATGTGCTATGTTCACTCTTCACACCGAGGGGTGACAAACGGCTGGTGGAACAGCGCCGGCAGGTTCTTCACGTGTATCCTTATTTTAAGTTATTTATTCATTCATCGTTCTCATTTGAACCCAATTGGACGGTAACCCCTATTACCCCTACATGCCACTACCCCTAAAGGATTGAGAGGATGATTTTATTGAAGGTTGACATCATCATTTGTCATCATCAAGATTTTAATCAGGTTGCTGACAGAACTGACCTTCTGACTATCCTCTGGTGGGTGATTATGTTATGTCGTATTCCGTACAACATTGCCAACAGTTGTGACTCTTCCTTTGCATGTTGACTGAACATACTTCCAGTGTACACAAAACTGTCTCACGACATTCTTAGTGTGAAGATAACCATCAAATAGGACTTGGGGGCTACATCTCCGTGACATAACAAACTCAACATTACGCAGACCAGCCATGTTGATGCCATGTTAGTTTGTTGTCAACAGTTATATACTATACGGAACTATCTCAATTTACTTTCTCATCTCACCTTCTCATTTCCCTCCACTTCTCAATATTACTGTGTATCTTTCATCATGGCACTAAAACAACTTTACCAACATTTAAAACAACATTTAACAACCTACACACTATCCAGTTTGTAAAATTGTTCTACTCACTAGAGGTTTATTTTTCATCATGAAACTAAAACAACATTCAGCTAATCCCAATTTTCCTTGACACAAAACACTGAACAACAGATTAACCCCTCCCTTGACCTCATCTGTATACTCTATGCACTAATCTCTTTGGGTCAGTCTATTATGCCAGACAGGTAAATGTCGTGTGTTGTTTTAACTAATTGTAGGGGTACTGGGGTGTAGGGGGTAGTGGCATGTAGGGGTTATGGGGTACAACCAATTGGACTGTCCAGCTCGGGGTGTGGGTGTGGCTGGGGTTGGGTTGGGGATGCGCACCACCACTTTTGCCCTGAAAGTTTATTAAATGACCATTGAAACTCGGGTGAAAATTAAGTGTGCACCCCTCCTTTTCTCAATATTGTGCACCCTATCTTTATCAAAAAGCTGCATCCGGCCCCGGTATGGTGATCTACCTTCAGTTGTTGGCGATCTAAAGCCCATTTTAATACTAAATCGTCCTAATTTGAAATATAATTTTAGAGAGAGATGCTTATTTTAATTCTTGATACTGTGATATTCTAGTTTGTTGTTTTGTCCTTCGTTGACAGGTTTTTTATAATTTACATGTATTCATGATGAATTGAAAACGTGTTTTAGTCACGATATGGCTGGAATATTGCCTATGTGACTTAAAGTCTTAACTCACTCACTCACAATCTGACTGTAGTTATTTTACCGTTCCTTGCAAACAGGTAGATCTAAGTATATTAACATTTGATTTGCTTTTATTTATTGATTGATTTACAAATTTACAACTTCCATAAAGGAAATACTGCGGATGTGACTTTAAATTCAGTAATCAGTTTCATAAACCTCTTCTGTGTGTAAATACACATGCCATGGTTTTAAAACTTCGTGAACTTTCAGCGTGTCCAAGCGGGACGTACGGTTCTAACTGCAGTAAGTCCTGTGATTCCCGTCAGTGTAAAACTGCTCGGACCATCTGTGATCACGTGTCAGGAGCCTGCACCACAGGATGTCGGGAAGGATGGATCGGAGCAGACTGTACTCAGAGTAATGTATCCCGAACCTAAACGCCAGTTCTCGTATGTCTGTCGGCAACTGTCCAATTGCCATGTCAAACAATGTGTCTCAGAACATCATTTCTATACTGAGATTAACGACTCATGTCAGATCTGTATTACAACAGATGCCAAGGACTGCACCACATTGTTGCATGATTTGCGACAAATGTGTGCAGCAACATTCTCTATAACACGGCAGCCAGATTTACGAGAATATATGCGAGGATCACACTGTGCCTACCCACCATGGGAGGCTGCCATATTCAGACAACAGACGTCGGTGGTTTTAAGCATGCCAAAGTGATCGGGAATTGCCAGGTTTAGGGACCAGTCCGGAAGTAACCTGCATGAAACTTATGGACGAGTCAGGGTGTTCCACGTTGCCGTGAACGTTTGCCATAAACTGCATATAGGAGGTGGACAGACGGTATTGGAAGCCTATTTTCGCATACAGAAAAATTTCACAGACATGTATAACAGGTTTGATGGAAACGCAAGTATTCCAGTACATGGCTATTGGCTGAAATCCTCCAACTAAACGCTTTCTTCAAGCGTGAACAATAGTGACATACACATGTACATATTCCACAAAGTGAGAACCATACGGTCAGTTTGTGTATGGTCAGGATGTGGCAGTCGCTTTGCAAACTCGGAATTCATGACATAAGTCAAAAGAGAAAAATATAACACAATTCTTAGTAGCTCCATAGCTATCCTCTTAATACAAGTGACGATAAGTAATTTCATCTATCTTTCCTCATACAATGACATACGTATTACTTTCAGTGGCAAATATTGAATTTATAATTGTAATTTGATGCAACACAACCTTTAGTAATGAAGCAGAAACAAGATGCTACGCGTTCTAGTCAAAGAGACTTGATAAGATGTGTCATAATTAAAACAAATGTTCCAGTCTACTTCTCATTTCTATCATCTAATGACGTAATAACTTAAGTGCCTACTTCCAGGATGCAAGCCTGGAACGTACGGACCTGACTGCAGTCGTTGTGGACACTGTGACGTCACGTGTAATGTTGGAGATGGACGATGTCCAGGAGAATGCCTGGAGGGCTTCACTGGTGACCGATGTGATGTAGATGTCAGAGGTTTGAGACTCGTTTAATATCCTGGAATTCCTTATAATATGTTTAAAATGAGAAAAAATGTTGTTAAATTTATCGAGATGTATGACCAAACACTGTTTATACTGACGATGCTATGTATCGTATGCATTGACATATGCAGACTTTATATCTATTCACAATAAATGCAAAGTATCAAGGTAAGTGAACTTCTTATTATTCCAGCCTCTGTTGCCAACATTAGCGTCATTGAAGGAGCTATAGGAATGTCTATAGGAATAGCGGTCACGCTGCTGCTGGTTGTTGGGCTGTTCCGGTGTCTGCTGAAACATGGAAGGTAACCTTGTATAACGTCCTCTATGATTAAAAGATTGATACCGCTGCTTGATGAGGCCAACATCTGTAACATTTCAACCATACCTCTCTCTTTCAGACTGAAATGGATTCCCTCAAACGGAGCAGATCCAAAGAAGGAAGAAAGACAGGTTACACTGAGGAAATTCCTACTCATACGCCAACTCCTGGCGTGGGGGATCCAGACTATACTGAACTGAATGATGTCACCAGGAGAGAGAGGAGAAGTCACAGTACGATGTCATTCAGAACCAAGTGTATGAAAATAATCAAATCTGAGAAAGGTTATGTGTATTGTATGGGCTAGGTTTTGTGCCGAATCTGTATATGTGATAGATAAATCTTTTATGCTTGGTAGTTTAGATAAACAACTGATATTGTTAGTGGCTGTATCCCCAAAGGGGTTAAAGTACTGTAAAATCATTGTCCTCCTGCGAGGATACGTAAGTCCCAAAACAATTCAAGTAAATTTAAACTTACTATGGTTTTTAACTGCAGTATATATGTTATTTCAATGTTATGGCTAGATTGTCAAAAATTGCTGACAGCTGAAGGGATGGTGTAAATCCAGCTGGGGTCCATGTAGGTAGCAAAAGTAATGTAAGTCCCCATGGTCCCTAGTATGGTGATCTACCTTCGGTTGTTGGCAATCTATAGCCTGTTTTTATATTGTATTGTCATGTATAGTTAAAGTGTTTTAGATTATATTACTAGTTTTACATTTATATATGTGATATTCTAGTTGTTTTACTGTCTTTCGTTGGCAGGTTTTATACTTTACCTATAATTATTATTAATATATAACTTGATATAGTCACGATATGGCTGAAATACTGCCGATGTGACTTAATATCTTAACTCACTCACTCACTGTATATGTCACATGCTGAAGGCTTCAGAGGTATCCATTTATACACATGTCTTGCCAAAATTCGAATATTACAATGAGACACTCACAAACCAATCTGACACTTGAGGGAAATCAAGTATGAAGAACGGAGGTGCATGTAAAAGTAAAGATCAGTTCCTTCATACTCAGCTTATATATATGTCTGGATCGTGTAGTCAACTGAAGAGATAGTTATAACCTTTTACTATACATGTAACAAGTACTGAACGAAATAAGCGCGTGGTTAGAATTGCATTTGACATATTTTAGCAATTGCTGATTAAAACAGTGACGAGACAAGTTGTACACAGTGTTACTGAACAGAACAAGACAACATATCTATTATTAAATATACTCGGTTAGATGTAAAACGCACTTAAAATTATTAAACGGATTTATGAATTGGTATCACATCAATACTGTTACTGTTACTGTTACGTACACTGTCTCCATGTCACCAGTAGTGGGTAAATATTGATACTGGGATGGAAATAGACTTTGTCCACAAAATTGTCCTAATTTGCTTGCTTGAAGGCTTAATAAAATCTAGCTTCAGATTCTTCTCTGTGTCGTTTCTTCATTTAGAATTCTCCTCAGTCACAGTCAAGCCATCCAACAAAGACACGTTATCTCTTTCCCACTTCAAGTTAACACAAGGACCAGTGTAATGAAATGTGGTGTGACTTCAACCTATGGCAACATGTGGAGATTGTTTACTGCAATCTGATTGCAAAATCAAACATCCTACGCTACATTCCTACGCTATGTGACACTGTTATTTATTGTGTAACAGTGCTCAAACTATAATACATTGTGTACGTGTAACGTTAAATATTAACTCACTCACTCTCTGTGAATGTGCATAGTCCGAGAGGGACAGAAATGTTTTGGTGTATAAGGGGAGCTAACTCTTGTCCCTCATCTCACTTAGTAACCTCAAGTTCCAAGAAGACCAGCATTGTGAGTGATGGTCAGTGTACTCTGCCAGGCCCAGTTGTAAGTTGGATTACTGTTGCTGAGGTTGAGTATTCCCGACTTTCTTGTCAAAATCACTGCCTTTGTATTACATACATTTAGTACATTACTACTTTGCTGTTGAGTCCACACCTATTTCTTTTATAAACTGATTTCAAAACATTTTTCTTTCATCTTTAACAGCAACTGTGTGTTTTTTCGGGCTAGAAATTTTATATCTCACGCAATTATTGGTTAAAATTATTTGTTAACTTTGTGTTTGTCTTACATTGTGTGAAAATAACCATAACCGTGGTGTTATTAATGTTGGAACTGGCCTCTATGCTCAAAAAGGTCTTATCAGGTCGAATTGGTGAGATATCAAATCTTGTATGCTTTGGGCCAATAAACATTTTATCACATTCGTTTTGAGAAAGAAATGTTTGATGATGATGCTTTGGCTGGCCTTGATTGAACAGAATATTGATGTTTAGGCTGTAAGGAGATCAGGAACTGAGAAGACAAATTAAGGATCCCGGAATCCTGGAGCTGAGAAAGAAAATTAAAAAAAACAATGATAGTTTCGGGTAAACGAATTCAAGATGACAAAGAATTATTATTATTATTATTATTATAGGATATTTATATAGCGCACATATCCACGCACTAGTGCATGCTCAAGGCGCTGGTATTTTTTCCATTTTTTTCCAATATCTCAGACAATAGATCGTTTGATCTATCGTTTGATCGTTAGATAGACTTGTTCCGGCTTTCTGTCAATGTCACACTCAAATGTTTCTTGCATTTTGTGGCTAACATTTTGAAGTGGTATTAACTGGTCCCTTACGGTAACAGCCCAGAGTATAGGCTTGCTAAGAAAAGGGATAGTAGTACTGTTACGTTTGCTCGGGAGACGGAAGCTTTTGTTCAAACTTGAAATTTGCCGTAAATTGATACTAATATTGATATTGGTACTGGACCTATTCTGGTGCTGGCTTTGGACACCCTGATTGTTATTTTGCAAATGTATGGTGCCAGAAAAGTCAGAAATAGTATTTCACCATTGAAAACGTAGTAGTACAACGTTGGGTCCTATCCAAGTGAATGCTGAACACAATCCACTGTCTTTTCGTCATGTAATAAAGAACAAAAAACCAATGCGTAATGTGCTGCAGCTTGTTGCTGTAGGAATTTGATGGAGATGCATGAAAAGTAAATGAAACATTATCGCTGATGCATTGTAACGAGTTGGCAAAGGGTGAACACTTGCCTCCCATCTGACATTGTAGACCAGGTTACATGAAGACCAGCAAGTGTATGGAGATTCCTCTTACCCAGGATACTGGTACTGCCACTCTATAATACCTAGGTAGTGATTTATCACTCTATTTGTTTGTGTGCTGGTTTCCCATCAGCCAGCAACACTGTACTTTACTTATAAAGTGTAATCCCAAATATAGCAATGGTTAGATTTTCAACTCAGTCACAATTACAAATGTGTATATTTGTTACATGGTTGTGCCTAACTGTCCAAGTTCTCTCATGGACTTTCAGTCAAGAGGGATAGTGTGAGTGAGTTTTGACTGAGCTGATTTGTAACCAACTGACTGTATGTTTTCAACCGTACCTGAAACCTGGCTGCAAGACAACAACCTTACACAGCGATTCATAACTACTCGCATATACATCCATTCATTTTGTCAGTTAATAAGTGGAGAAATGCCACATTGTCTTTTGTTGGTTTCCCAGCCACGTTGGCATTTCTGGTAACACAATGGCTGATCTTGCTGCTAAGGCAGCACTCAACAAATCTGTGACACCACTTCTGATCCCATACTCTGAATACAAAGCTGCTATAAGATCTTATATCCGTGATCTGATGCAAAAGAAGTGGGACGCCCAAGTAGGTATCAATAAATTACATGCAATAAAACCAACTATCGGTAACACCTACTTGGGTTGTCATTCCAGATTTGAAGAGGTCATCATACGATGATGTCGTATTGGCCACACGAGATATACTCATGAGTATCTATTAAAAGGTAAGGATCCTCCGTTTTGTATCACTTGTGGTGAAAGAATCACGGTCAAGCATGTCCTGCTTGAGTGTGTTGAATATTCCATCACAAGGGATATCTATTTCAAAGTAAAAACTATGAAGGATCTTTTTAGTAATATAAGTTTTCATTTAATTATTGCATTTTTAAAAGAATTAAACTTGTTAACTGATTTGTAAATAGATACATATTTTATTATTGGTAGTTTAGATTAGTAACTGATATTGTTAGTGGCTGTACCCTCAAAGGGGGTTGAAGTAGTGTAAAATTATTGTCCTCCTGAGAGGGTACGTAAGTCTCAAAATGTTCAAAGTCAATTTAAACTTGCCAGGATTTTTAAACGTAGCATTCTTGTCATTTTGTTTTTTGGCTAACATTTCTTAGAATCGCCAGCAGCTGAAGGGATGGTGTAAATCCAACTATGGTCCATGCAGGAAGCCAAGGTACTGTAAGTCCCCATGGTCCCTGGTATGGTGATCTACCTTCTGGTGTTGGCGATCTATAGCCTGTTTTTATATTGTATTGTCCGAATAGTGCTATTAGTTTTAACTCTCCACACTAGTTTTAGTTGTAGTTGTGATATTCTAGTTGTTTTACTGTCCTTCGTCGACAGGTTTTTATAACGTGCATATATTCCATTTCAAAATCAAATGTTCTCATTTCATTTTTTAGTGTATAAATTGTTTTCGTCACGATATGGCTGAAATATTGCCGATGTGACGTTAAACAATAACTCACTCACTCACTAATAAGTGGAGAATGTTGACAAATGTTTCGCCTTCTGTCTCCACGCTTAGTCTGTTTTGTCCACGTACTCGGCACTTTGTGTTATTATTATAACTAGTTATTTGTCACGATATGGCTGAAATATTTCGGATGTTTCTTAAAATCGTAGCTCACTCACTAACTCACACGCGAACACACCCCCGTTCTCTCCCACCTCACACCTGATGTTCAGATACTTAAAAAAATATTACATATAAATACATTCTTCATGAATTGACTTGAAATGAAGCAAAGCGTGACATTACTGTACAAACTGTCATGGAAATCGGGAATTAAGAACCTAAGCTGACGAAATCTAGACTTCCTGAAATTAGGGCGTTTGTATGTAAGGCAGCCCTGGACCGGGGGGAACGTGCTTTGTTTCAGGGACTATGTTTTGGTTGTTTGTTTTGGAATTAACGCTGCACTCAGCAATATACCAGCTATATGGTAGTGGTCTGTAAATAATCGAGTCTGGACCAGACAATCCAGTAATCAGCAGCATGTGTATCGAACTACATGATTGGGATAACAATGTGACTTGTAGTGTCAAGCAGAGATGTCACAGTAACCAACCAGGATGCAAGCAGCGTTGTGTTTCTACAGGTCTGGCAACGTTCCTGCAACGAGGCTGTCATGCTGACTGGTCAAATAGAAAGATGTAAGGTAGGTACAAGATTCATAGCACCGGGAATGTTACTGGCGGAAGATGTAA